TAAGGGTGGCAGGGACAATGATGATCATCTAGTGTGGGGTTCTCAAACTGGGGGTCATGACCTCTCAGGGGGTCACGAGGTTATTATGTGGGGGGCTGCCCAGCTCTGAAGGCAGAAGCAAGGGTTGCAACGGAGTGCAAAGTCTGCTGTGAAAAGTGAGACTGGCCAAGTTTCCTCACACTCCCAGTATTAAACAGTAACTATTTAAAAACCCCTGTTCTGCTTATAACAATAATTCAGTAAAAATGTGGTTTAGTTTTAATTTAAAAGTGATGAGAAAAGTAAATTCATTTTAAACAACAGAGTTATAAATTTAGCATTTAAAATAGTGTTAAATATAAAATATGATTTTAATTTATAAGGGGGGGTGCACTCAGAGGCTTGCTTTAGAAAAGGGTCGCCAGTACAAAAGCTTGAGAATCACTGAGTCTGACTTCCTGCGTAGCACAGGCCCAAGAATTTCACCTAGTGATTTCTGCACTGAATCCAGTAACTGTTTGTTGCATCAATGCACTGGTTTTAGAAAGGCATCCATCCTTGATTTAAAGACACCAAGTGAGGGAGAATCTACCACTTTCCCTGGGAAGCTGTTTCAATGATTAATTCCCTTCATTGTTAACATGCTGAGTTTTATTCCTTATTTGACTTTTTCTAATTTCAGCTTCCAGACACTGGACCTTGTTCTGCCTTTGTCTGCTAGATTAAAGAGCCCTCGGCTGTCAGAAATCATCACCATGTGGACGCACTTATAGACCATGAACAAGTCACTTCTGCGACTTCTCTTTGGACAACCAAATACTTTGAGCTGCTTTAAACTTCCAACTCCTTTAATCTCTTGCTTGTAAATGTGGCGTGTAGAGATCACAGCCTATCGTGCTGACTGATAATGTCTACTTGTTGGCTTGTACTCCCCTGTCTGTCTGTATCCATATGGTGTCTTTATACTTAGATTGTGAGTTGCTCGAGGCAGAGAATGTCTTTTGTTCTGTGTTTGTCCTGCGCCTAGCACACTGGGACCTAGTCCACGTGGGGGTCCCCAGGTCATACAGCACGACCGATTATAAATAATTATCCATGGCTGCTGATTTGAAAATGTTTAACTTTCGTAGAAGCTGTCCAACATTAGTTACTCAGTTACTATTCGGTTGGAAAATATTTCATCATGTTATATGAGACACATACACTATGCAGCTTTATTCCAGATGCAGAACAGAAATCTTTAGTGAAAAATATCACTAGAAACAATTTTACCATCTCTGTCTGGCTAGGGACCTTTACAGTTGTTAGGATTCCTTTTGTTCCTGACAGATTTTAAAAACTTCCTCCCCCTTGTCCTTAACCCACTTGGCCATTGATATCTTATTGACACTTACAATCCCTTACTGCCTGCCTGCTCTTCCTAACTTCTAACGCATATTCATTGCCACTAACCTCCCTGTTTTTCCATGTGTGTACTGATTTCTTATCTTTGATCGCTGCCCCACATCCCCTCTGAACCAGAGTCACTCGTGACTCATGCCCCAGAGTTCGTAGCCTCCTGGCGTGAATTCTGAGTTTGTAATTAGACATCGGGGGAGAATGGGATTGTCTCTAGCACACCGGGGTTCTGGTCCTTGACTAGGCTCCACTGAGCCATTGTGATAAGACTAATAAATAAACAATTAGGGTGGTTTTACTTTCCTAACTCGGTCTCCTGCCTCTCTCATGGCCCCTTGCACAGTTACTCACCTGGAAAAGCTGGGTCCTCTTGCAGACCCGGGGGAGACCAGCGGTCCGATTCAGACCTGGTGTTACGCCATGGACTGCCCTAGCCGCGAGGGGCACATGGGGAACTGCTGCTGTCAGCAAGGTGACTAATGGTGACCTGCGACCCACAGGGGCGGTGAGTTGAACGGACCCGTGGTGCCCGGGCTCCAGGAATATTCAGGGCCTGGGGGCCCGGCTCCACCAATATTTGAAGCCCAGTCTCTCCCCTAGCCCTGCCTGCCTCCCACGTGCGCCTCCCCCGGGCCCCAGAGCATCCCTGCCTCAAGCGGGTGGCTGCCCCGCAGCTCGGCTCTGCGCTCCCTTGCCGGTGGCCGCGGTGGCCACTGCTGCCTACAACACAAAAGCGGGAGGCGATGCTGGGGGGGGCTTCCGGGGGATGGAGTCTGGACCCCTGAGCAGCTGCTGGGGCTTGGGTGACTGTCTGACCATGTGATGCGCGTTCCCTCCCCCGCCCGCAGCCACCACTCCTGCCCCACACTGGGCAAGGGGCAGCCCCATCCCCCGTGAGGCTACCGTGAGGGGCAGCAAGCTGCAGCAGGGGCGGAGGCCACATGTGATGGTAGCCCCCTCCCCCTTCTTCACCCACTACAGGGGAGGCAAGGGGGCTTTCGGGTCCTGAGAGGGGCCCGGCCCCGAGGAGCACGTGCAGTGATGCACCGTGAACCCCTCATCCCGGCCCCACCCTGCAGCCCTCACCCCTGCACCCCAACCCTCTGCCCTAGCCCTGAGCCCCCCCCCACACCCCAAACCCCTCATCCCCAGCCCCACCCCCGAGCCCGCTCCCCCAGCCAGAGCCCTCATCCCACCCCCACTCCCACATTGTGCAATATAGGGAAACTGTTAAATGCTTACTGCTTCCAGTCCATGTTTTCATTATTTTAAAATATATATATCGGCTTACAAGGCAGGTGTGGGGCGAGGCGAGACTTGGACCCGTTCTGGGCACCTCTAAAAATTATACAGACCTGCTGCCCCTGCCGCCCCACACCCATCACAGGGAGCAGTGACTCTGTGCCAGCCAGAGAGCTGTCCGTCTGGCAGCGATTGGGCGACCTGAGCCGGTTTGGGGCACTCCCCGTGGAGGCTGGGGAGAACTTCTGCTCAGCCTGGAGTAGCGGGGTGGGGAGACCATGACCGTGGATGCTGCCTGGATCACTCTGTCTGAGCGCGAGGCTCAGTGCCAGATGAGGCTGGATATCCTGCCCCTTCTGAGCAGAAACCATTGCAGTTTGAGGAAGCCTGAGTCACATCCGTGGGGGCTAAGGCGGGGCTTTGAGACTGCAGAGCCACGGGCGGCATCAGCCATCGCCATGGCTTTCACTGTCCTCCCCCCCCCCCAACTCCCAAGACTCTGCTCTCCTGCAGCCATGCCGGAGGGGCAGAGGCCTTTGTGATGGACGGTGCTCGCTGGGGGTGCTGCCTCGTGGTTAGGGGGTTAGGCCCCTGGTGGCCATGTCTCTACGCTTTCCCCTGGACCAACTTCACAACCAGCTGCCTCCAGCCAGTACACATGGCAGGGTCTCCTTCCCCCCCTGTGAACACAGCTGCCCCCCCCGCAACGTGAAATGGGGACACGCCTTTCCCAAGAGATGCTCCCTGCCCTCCAAGGGCGAGCGTTTGCTCCACGTGTTCTTCTGCGCTCTAGGAACGACAAAAGCACCAGCATGCCCCCGTCCCAGTGGGAGCACTGGCTACCAGCCCTGAGTGGGTGATAGGACAGGGCTGTCTGCAAAAGCAGTGACCCAGGAGATCCCTTTCAGTCCTGCATTCCTGTGAGATCCTTTGGGACAATGGCTCTGCACCAGCTACCTGACATTCCCCGCACTGCTGAATGAGCCCTCGCATGAGACCATCCTCCTCCACCCAGCCACGGAATGGGTCTGGAAACCACAGGCCCATCTTTTCTGCTCCAGGGGCCTCCCTAGGCAGGGATGGGTCTTGAACGGGAGAGATGCAGCACTTGGCCTGTACGTGTCGGAGAGTCGCCCAGCCTTTGATGATCCTGGCATGGGGCTTGGCTCTGGGGCCCTGGCTGGCTTTGGGAACTCCCTAGCCAGGGCTGTGTGGTGCTCAGGGAGACCCCAAAGCGTGTCAGATGTGAAGGGAGAAGAACAAGGCCAGGTCCCCTGCCCATCACTTACTCAGTCGCACACAGTCCCGCCCCACTCCCCACCTGCCTGCCGACCTGTCCCCAGAGAGAAAGAGTCCTTCTCTCCCCTCGTGAGAGCTCAGGCCCAGTCAGGCTGCTCAGGTTTCCTGCACGGTTTCCCAGCCATGAGCATCCCATTGGTAGGACTCAGCCAGCTCTGCTCTTGCTGAGTGGCCCTGGAGCTGGTGCTGCCATGGCCACTCCCTTGCCCTGCTGTAATCGACATGCGTGAAGCTGGCTCTGGGGAGAGCTGGGGGGGGCCTGGAAATGGGGCAAGGACAGGCGGAGGCAGCAATGAGATGTTCTCCTGCCCAAACCTCTGCACGTCTCGGCACCTGGAGAGCTGCCTCCTGTCCTCAGAGCTGGTTAGTAAGGAGCTCAGGAGAGGTTATTGGAAAAGTGTGTGAGGTTTCCTTAGCCTAAAGCTCAGATCCTGCCTGCGATTCCCGTGCCTGTTTGGTTGCACGCAGAGGAAGTTCTGAGGTCAGGAGAAATCTCTCAGTGACTCTGCGCTCGTTGTAACCTTCCAAGAATTCACAGAGAACTGCCCCAAAATAGCTCCTAGAGCCGAGCTCTTAGAAAAACATCCAGTCTTGATTGACAAGTTGTCCCAGTGGTTAATTACTCTCGCTGGTAAAAATTTACGCCTTATTTCCAGTCTGAATTTGTCTAGCTTCAACTTCCAGCCTCTGGATCAAATGTAGCCACATTTAAAGCCCAGCTGAGAAACTCAGCTCCTTACCTTCCTCTGTTCTTTATCCGGTGTAATTTTGTTAGCACAGAGCATTTACTATTGACAAATTCCCCCCACCCCCAAACTCCCCAGAACTGAACCCCAAATCAGAACTCCGCCGCCATCAAATACAAATTGCATCATTAATGATACCAAGCCCATAAAAAGAGACTGGCTGAAATAGAAATGACCAACCACACACTTAAAGTGACAGTGCATGGGGCCCTTTCTTGCCTGGCAGCTCTGGTGGTGTATCAGACTCAGACCAGGGATGGGTCAGTGACTAACATGAGTTGTTTCTGCTTTTCACTCTAGTTAACCCTTCCAATGCAATACAACTGCGAGAGAGAGAGACCAGCATGGCAACAGAATGGGGTACTCAGTTCCACAGTTACCCCTCTGCCCTCTGTACTGAAGGCAATCGTGTGCCACAGAGGGCAGAGTTGATGACAGGACCTTTATTACCGAGGATGTTGAAGCATTGCTGATGGCTAAAATGGAAAGAACCTATTGTCAGTGTCACGAAACAGCCTAGCAGCTCCAGTCCTGGACCAGGACTCCAGTGTGCAAGGTGCTGTACAAACACAGAAAAAAAGACAGTCCCTGTCCTAAGTACAAGACAAGAGACAATGGATGGATACAGACAGACAGGGGAGTACAAGGCAACAAGGAGACAATATTTGTCAGCATGGTAGGCAATGATCTCTGCACACCAGCAGCCCCACACTTCTCTTGGATCTCAGGCTGAGTTTGCAAGGCCAGCACTCAGAAAACTCTTTGTGCTCCAAGAGACACTAAGCTGGGAAGGCGGGAATGCAGATTTTTGCAGAGGCCCTTTTCAGAGCCAAGCTACACATTACAATACAGCGGATAATTCAAAGGTGTCAGATCCATCGGTGTGTCTCCGTATAAAAAGGTCAGGAATTGGCATGAAAGCCGGAAAGCCCTAAATGTAATCAAAGCCCAAGCACTCCGAATCCTTAGCTTCATGCTGTCAGCCAGCAGAGCAGAGCGGGTCACAGCCATTGAGTTCCACAGCTCAAGGGTCAAAAGCCAGGTGATGGAAGCTAGCGGGTTCACGTGTTAGTTCGAAGCCCGCCAATCGGCCTCTCATTCCAACAGCAGTGCAACAAAGGGACAGAAAAGCAGGGATGGTGCCAGTCTTCTAGCTCTTGTCCATTTAATCAGCCGGCACCCAGGCATCCAGCCATTATCCTCTGTCATCACTGATGGCCTCAGTAGAACTCATAGGCAAGTAAAGTCTATTCATGTCCCTTGCATTTCATTCAGATGTTTAATTAAATTACAAATAAAGGTGCTGGACCGATAGCCCTAAATCATCTGCTTTTGCCTAGAATAGTCCCAGAACTGCCTCACTAATGAGCCTTTGACCCTGATCAGCAGAAAGTGCATCTTGGGCTGGGAGGAGAACCAGTCTACGTGGCCGATTCAGTCCTCAGCTTCTCTGCAGAACCTGCCATCAAGAAAGTGTGAATTGTGAGAGTATTTCCTGTGATGCAGGCTCTTGTCCACCAGGAATGGGGCTGGGCCCCTCCCCTAACTCATTTCACACAAGGGTCACCAGGCAGCCATTGGAATATCACTGTTCCATACTGAAGCATGATTGGTAGAGCTCGCTGGGAAACAGCTTTTGTTCCCTCCCCCCTTGCAAACAAATTCAGAGTTTTGGTTTTTCAATGAAAACTTGAAAATTTTCAGTGAAAACAGAGTATTTTTCAATTCAACATTGTCATCGACAACTCGGACAATGGAGGGACAGTAAGCTTTCTAAAATTCTAAAAGTCCACTGCATGCATCCGATGAAGTGGGCTGTAGCCCACGAAAGCTTATGCTCAAATCAATTGGTTAGTCTCTAAGGTGCCACAAGTCCTCCTGTTCTTTTTGCGGATACAGACTAACGCGGCTGCTCCTCTGAAACCTTTCTAAAATTTGCAATGACACCAAGTCGGGAAGGATTGCAAGCACTTTGGAGGACAGGAGTAGAATTCAAAAAGATCTTGAGAAGTTGGAAAAGTCTGATATCAATACGATGAAATGTAGTAAAGACAAGTGCCAAGTACTACACCTCAGGAGGAAAAATCAAATGCACAACTACAAAATGGGGACTAACTCTTAGGTACCAGTGCTGAAAAGGATCTGGGGGTGAGAGTGGATCACAAATTGAATAAGAGTCAGCAATGTGAGGCAGTTGCAAAACAGGCTAATATCATTCTGAGCTGTATTAAGAGGAGTGTTGTATGTAAGACGCAGGAGGGAATTGTCCCGCTCTGCTCGGGACTTGTGAGACCTCAGCTGGAGTCCTGTGTCCATTGTTGGGCACTGCACTTTAAGAAAGGTGGCTTAGAAAATGTGATGTATGAGGAAAGGTTTTAAAAACTGGGTACGTTTAGCCTTGAGAAAAGAAATCTGAGGGTAGATGCGATAACAGTCGTGAAATATGTGAAGGGTTGTTACAAAGAGGACAGTGACCAGTTGTTTTCCAGGTCTGCTGGAGGTAGGACAGGAAGCAACAGGCTTAATCTGCAGGAAGGGAGTTTTACGTTCAATATCAGGAAAGATTTTCTAGCTATAAGGGTAGTTAAGCTCTGGAACAGGTTTCCAAGGGAGGTTGTGGAATCCCCATCAGTGGAGAAGAAAAAGACGCCCCTATCCCAAAGAGCTTCACACAGACAGTAGGTTCCTGTCCCCAGAAGCTTATTGTAATGACCTTCAGTCATCAATAACCTGGGCTGGATTTGAATTAGGGACTCAAGACTTCAGATTTCATTTTGAGTCTTGTGTCACACCTAGTCCCCGCCAAAGGCAGGTCTGTTAGTTCAAAGACAAACCTGCCACCATTACCACAATGGACTCATGTCCTCGCTTCCTTTGTCCTTTTTCCAGGACTTTTGATGACCTAAACTCCGAAATGGAATTTGAGAGTCACTCTAGATTTCAACTTCCTCTTTGATTTCTCAACTCAGCAAAATTTGGCTCTGTGTGTCATCATTGACTTGGCATGATGTGTGCGTTTCCCTAAAACGCCGCTGTATAAAGCCGGCACAAGGGCCTGTGGTTCAGCATCAGAGACAGGAGGAGAACTGGAAAGAATCCCCGCTCTGGTTCTGCTGCTGCCACTCCTCCTCTCCCAGCAGAAGCATGAAGGTCTGTGTGGCTGCCTTCGCGGTTCTCCTCATCGCTGCCCTCTGCTCCCAGGTCCATTCTCAGCTTGGTGAGTCCTGTTTCTTTTCTGCCTTTCTGCAGCGCTCGGAGCTCTCACTTTCACTGGGGTTCGGACTACGTCAAGGTGGGTTCAGGTGTAGGAAGGTGCACTCCCCATTCTGACACTGCGGCTTGTAGTGACCCAGCCTGGTTGGGAGGGAGCCCACGAAACAGCCATAAACTTCAGTTGGTCGAGATGAACGATCTCAGGGGTCTTCCTGCTCTGAGATGCCCGGGAACAGTGACAGTGAGGGGTGGAGCTGAGGGTCAGTTAACCCGATTGGGACTGCAGGAGAAGCCTTCAGATCCTCAGACACCGTCAGCGAGGGGTTAGAGAGAATCGTCAGGCAAGTCTCTTCTTTCCTTCCAGATGGCGTCAACACCCCAACTTCCTGCTGCTTCAGCCATGTTGCCAAGCCAATCCCACGGAGCCTTGTGGTGAAGTACCGGCACACCAGCAGCAAGTGCTCCTTGCCAGCTGTAATGTGAGTATGATTTCCGGCCAGACGTTCTTCGTTCATGCAGAGAAACAACCCCATAGGATGAACGGATGGGGGAGGGAATCTGCAGAGTTCTTGGGAAACAAATGTCAAAGGCATTTTTAATCCTGGGGTAAAAGACAATTATGCAGAAGTTCTCCACATTCCCCTGTGACCCTTGGATGCCACAATTCTAGAGGCCTTCAAAATACCGACAATAGGTATGTACAGAGAGCAAGGTGGGATTGATGTTTTGCAGACCCACGGAGAAGGTTCATGCTTGAGCCCTTGCTCTGGGTTCTTGTGTCAGGGACTGACACAGCTTTCAGTTCCCCAAGTAACTCAGCAGCAGGGGTTTGGGAAAGCGTTCTCCTGCAGCTCTCTTTGAGCAGAAAGCAGGGCCTCAGAGGGCAGCAAGAAAGCTGGGGTATCTTGAGCATTCCAGTCGGGGCAGACGGGGCCAGAGCCACACCTGGGGTAAATAGGCATCGCCACATCTGTTGCGGCTCTAACCTGCAAGCACACCACTAGTGAGAGTAACAAAGGGTGGGCAGGGGACAGACTGCGGTAGAAGAAGGGTTGCAGCAGTGATCCCCAGGTCACTCAGATGCGGGATATGCACTATTTTAGATGATCACTGATACTCATTGCATGGGCATGGAGGAAAAAATGAGTCAGCATGGAGCCAGGGTAGTGGCTCAGTGGGACCAGAATTGAGGAGGATGTCCCTTATGTCAAGACCTGGACATTGCACCGGGGTAAGGTCACCTGCTGGGGTGAGCTCAGGTGGTAACGTCAAAGCTGGAGACTCTGATCCAGTGACAGTGGTGCAGCCAGGCACAGCTCAGCTTCTCCGCAGTAAGGTGCCATGAAGGTTTCACCTTTACAAAAGCGGAGTCCTCACCGGCTGACTATTCTTAACAATGCTCAGTCTTGTTGGCCAACACAGAACCCAGCTGGTCTCCACGACCTGCTCGGCCGTAGCTTGTGTCTCAGGGGATCCACTTTCCTTCTTCTCCCTGTGAAGATTCTGAACCGAGTTTTTATCTCTGCAGCTTTACCACGAAAAAAGGCCGGGAAGTCTGCTCCGATCCCAACGCACGATGGGTCCAGGAGCATGTCAAGCACGTGAAACAAAACTGACGAGCCCCTGACGGCAATAGCTGCTGGCGACCGTCCCGAAAGTCCTTGCAGGTCGCGGGAGGCAATTGCTCCTCCCACAAAGAGTTTATTTTAATATATTATTTGTAATGTTTATTTCTGAACTGGAACAACAATTTATTATATTTAAATTATTTGTGCTTAAGTTAAATCAATGTCAATTTCTTTTGATCCAACAAAATACAAAATGCAATTGAAATATTCGGCTGTGCCTGTTAATGAGGATTTAGGATTTAGGCCTACACACCTTTGAATGCTCTGGGCTGTCTCTCTGAAGCTTTTGCAGGAGTGATCCTGATCTGGGGGCTGAGGGTCTCAGCAGCATGCCTCTGGCGATACCAGTTCTCAATGAAAATAATCCACCCCCAGCCCTTTGCAGCTGGAAGTAAAAGGGAGAAGGTTGAAAAACTGCGTTATATTTGTAAAGCAAGGGTGAGATGCGCCTGCAATGGAGCAGAGTGGGGCAGGGCTTGGAGTCACACCGCTCTAGTCAATCTAGTCAAGGATGGGGGAGGGAGTATGCCCTGGGGGTTAGAACACTGGGGCTCAACCTTCTCAATACTGGGCCCTCCCTGACCTAGCAACGTGGAAAGGAGAGGGCGGTTGTGACCCCCTGATTCCTGTTCATGACCCCCCCCCCCAAGACTCAGGACCCCCCAGTTGAGAACCAGCAGGTGGGAGGATCCACAGGTCTGCAAGCCAGGTTGGTGGCTCCTCGGCAGCTGCTGAGTTCATACTGCCACCTCTGGCAAACGGGAGAACTGCAACCTATGAGTCCTATTGGCTCAAGCCCCACTGGATGTCCCGCCCACAGAGGCCCTGAGGGGCTGTGCCCACGGTGTTTCCTGATTGGCCCAGGCATGCTATTTAAGGCATAGGGGAAACACCTGGAGGCTGCTGTGCAACTAGGGGGATCTCTGGCTTGGTTCTGCAACAGGCCCTTCTGTGTGCTCCTGCTACCTTGCCTTGTTCCTGGCCCCCGCCCTGCTCCTGGGTCCTGGCCCCAGCTCTCCTTCAGGTACCTGGCCTTGCTCCTCCTTCCTGATTCTTGGCCCCTCTCTGCTCCTGACACCTTGCCCTGCCTTGGCTGACCTACTTGGCTCGGACCTGGTGCGGTTCATCAGCTCGGAATGGTTCCTGTGATGTGACGCTAGCCTGGATTGCTGCTTCTGGCCTTAGCCCTCTGGACTGACCTTGTACCTAACCTTCTTCTGTAACTTGTCGGCTAGACCTATGGGCTGGCAGCCCGGACTCCTGGGTCTAGTCCTGGCAGTGGGGTGGGTTTTATTGCCAGTCTATCACTGACTCCCTGGGTGACCCTGGCTAGTTTATAACGGTTCATTGCTCTCTGCAGGGCCGAATCGCAGCTGCTTGACTGTGTGTCCTCGACTCCTCACTGCTCGTAGCTCTGGAATATTTTCCTTTGGCCCCAGTGGTAGGGGCTGGTGCTTTTGCAGCAGGAGGCTCTGAGTTTTCGCTCCTCTGTTGCTGTGAAGTTCTGTGTGGCCCCAGCACACAGCATCAAGAAATCCACCATGTCTAAGACACAGTGGGCTGGATCAGTCACAGAGTGATTCCACTGAAGTTACTGGCATTATCCTGGGGATGAATTTGCCCTGGTATAAATATAGTCTCTGGCTACCTAGGAACTACGCAGCTGTCCCCAGGCTACACGGCTTGTAACTTCCTGGGGACAGGAACCGGATTGCCCTGCTCCAAAAGCATAGGCCCTCGCCGCTGGAGTGAAAGGCAAATCTTCACGGCCTGTCATGAGGCCAGCGCTGTGACATGCAGCTGAGTTGCTCTGGTCCCATCCAGTAGGGGGCAGTTTGAACCTGGATTCCTGCCTAGGTCACTGGTGACATGTCAATGGGCTGTGTATTTACCTGGTTGCTGTGGCGATTGCAGTCCACAGGAGTTGTGCATGACAACACTTAACCCTTGCAAGACCAGGCTCCCAGAGGGCAGCAGGTGAGTGTTCAGGGATGTGTAATTCTACACCCCTGTGCCAGGCATTGAACTTGAGACCTGTGAGTCCAAACACGTGACCTTCTATTGTCTGAGCTAAAAGACCCACCTCTGGTAGACCAGGCTGTAGTAGGCTCATCAAGCTCTATATGGGGCCCAACCACGGTGAGACGGCCGGGGTGCTGGCACCAGGGAAGCTGGAACTAGAGGTGCTGGGGGTGTGGCCGCACCCCCTGGCTTAAAGCGGTTTCCATCATACACAGGGTTTACAGTTCTGTTCAGTGGCTTTCAGCACCCCCACTATAAAACCTGTTCCAACGCCCCTGTGAGACGGAGCCAGAGCCCCCCGCTGATTGGGTTACACATGCAAAGGGCTGGAGTCCTGCTGAGTGTCTGCCATGAATTTGGATCCAGATCCATTGGGCACAGATATGAATCTTTCCCCGGAGGAGACCTAGCGTGAGACTCAGCAATAGACACTTCCCTTATAGACACCAACGTGTCTCCCCCCTTGCCCGTAAGGATCCAGCTAGCGCCTGCCTGGCGCCTCCAGGAGACAGAGAACAAAGCGTTCAGAACCCAGGGGTGCATGTTTAGTGGAGTGCTGGGTGGAGCGCTCCATGGGGACACCATTGCTAGGAACCTGCCGAAGCCCCGTTGCTGGGGAAGGCGGATTTGCTGAGCCCCGGGATGCACGCAGTGGGTGTTGCATCCCCATTGTGTGGTGGGGGCTCTGGGAGTTGTGCTCTTGCTGGGTATAATCCCAAATGAGTCTCGGCAGGTGCTTGCCCTCCAGCCCTGGACGTCACAGCCTCATGGAGTCCCCTGTAGTCACTGGTGGGTCATAGAGACAACGGGCTACTTGTGAGTCTGTTTTCACTGACTGGAGATTCTTGGGGTCTGCAGCGTTTGGCCTCCTGTCAGCTGTGTCTTAGAATTATTATTCTGGCAGCTGCCTGGTCTTTGAGCTCCTTGCTTTGTTTCATTACCTGTGAGAAGCCAATTGGTTTCTATCGCACAACGTTTGTTCCTTGTCTGCCCAGGGACGGAAAGGTTGGCTCTTTCTGTTAAGAAAGAAAAAGGGCAGATTTGTTTTGCCGTCCCTGGATTGGGGTGTGATGTTTTAAAAATGTATTTAGAGAAATCGTAAGTAAATATGGCTTTTTCCCTCGGTAAGACAGGGGTCTGGGCCCCTGCCTCTGCCCTTCCCACCAACGAATGCAAAGCCCCAGCTATGCAGCTACCGTGTCACAGTGAATAATGAAATGACACGCCACAGCCGGACAGCGCTGGTCAGCTACCAGGAGCAGGGGGAGAGCAGACCACAGACCAAGTGAGTAGGTGATATCTTAATAAGGCCACAGCCCCTGTCAGATCTACCTATCTGAGGTATTTATCTGGCCCCTCTCACCACCCTGTCTGAGCACCTCACATGCCTTCGTTTAGCCTCACAACCTCGCACGGCAGGGCAGTGCTAAAATCCCCACTGTGCAGACGGGGAACCAAAGCTCAGAAAGATTAAGTGACTTGGCCAAGGTCAGATAAGAAGTCTGTGGGAAAGCAGGGACTTGAACCTGTCTCCTGAGAGCCAAGTGAGGGGCCTAACCACAGGACTAACCTTCTCCCTATGGGCAAGGGAGTGGGGAGAATGTGTAGGGAGCAGGAAAGGGGGACTGTACCTAAGGGTCTTTTCTCACTCGTGTAACACCAGCACAGCTGGGTGGGTTGTGAGCCACGGGGATCAAACCTGGGGCCTCTGGATCAGAACTGAATGAGCCTCTAGCGCCCGAGCTCAAGGATGTGGCTCTCGTAGCTCCGGCTGTCGCAGGCTCATCGATCTCCGGCTGGCCTAGCCACTGCTAGATGGGGACAGAGCTCACGCCAGGTGGACATGGCTTATGCTCGTAAAAGGAAAAAGTTTCGACTCTATTGACCAGCCAGAACATGACTATTATTTGTATTACCGTAGAGCCTTTTGCTAGGCGCTGCAGGATGGTCCCTGCCCCGAGGAGCTCACAGTCCAAGTAAACCACCCAATAACTCCTCCCGTAGGAGGGCCTGCCAGTGACGCGTGGATTCTGGCACACGGGGTATGGGAGGGACCAGAAATGACCATCAGGAGCCCTCCAGCCCCAGGGGAGAGACCTTTCCACAGACATCGCCAAAATCACACCAGATAAGGCCCCTCCTGTCTTTGTGTGGGGTGGAGACTAACGACGTCTGGGGTAAATGTGGAGGAACGTGGCCAGTCCCGGTCAAGGAAGCCTCTTCCTCCAATAACCAGCTTGAGGGTGATTTCAGAACGGGGCCTAGTTGGAGTTGCAGGAACCCCCACGGGAAAGGTGGGAGTTTTCAATTGTCCAGACTGGGCTCATTCCTCACATGCAGCAGCACCTTGAGAGCTCAGGGTCCCATTGCGCTAGGCACTGTACAAACAGACTGCGAGAGACAGGCGCTGCCCTGTAGAGTGCACAGTCTGAAGAAGCAAAGGTTGGAAGGAGTATGAGATCCCTTTGGTGGGAGAAACGAAGGGATTAACGGATTTGCCCAAAGACACAGACGCCGTCTGTTGCAGAGGCAGGAATTGAGCCCACCTCCCAGCCTAGCTCTTTAAGCTAGGACTAGCTGGCTCATGAAAGCTACCGCTATGAACCCAACTAGAATCCAACTGTGTAGTCACAGCACAATGGCTTCTCAGGAGCTGATTGGAAGCAGCCTTCAATTACCTGAAGGGGGTTACAAAGAGGCTGGAGCTCGGCTGTTCTCTGTGGCGGCAGATGGCAGAACAAGGAGCAATGGTCTCAAGTTGCAGGGGGGAAGGTGGAGGTCGGATATTAGGAAACACTATTTCATGAGGAGGGTGGTGAAGCACTGGAATGGGTTCCCTAGGGAGGTGGTGGAACCTCCATCCTTAGAGGTTTTTAAGGCCCGGCTTGACAAAGCCCTGGCTGGGATGATGTAGTTGGGGTTGGTCCTGCTTGGAGCAGGGGGTTGGACTAGATGACCTCCTGAGCTCTCTTCCAACCGTAATCTTCCATGGTTCTATGAAACCCTCTTGTTGTTTGCAGCGCTCCTGAAATGAACCGCCAGGCCCTGAAGCTGAAGGAGGAAGGTGGGAATAAACTACCTTGCGGTGGGCTGTAGCAGGGGCAACGTGAGCTCATCGCTGGGCGGTGGCACTCGCTGTCCCAGTGCTGTTAGCTGCGAGCGATGCAGGGGAGCCAGAGGAAGGGGTCCATGGGTGGGGCCGGCCTTCCCCTCTGGGAGGGAACCGCTGTTGTAACAGAGACCATGCAGGGGGAAGGGAAGGGTGCAGTCCGTGGGTGACGGTGAACAAAGGGACGGGGCAGGGGGAGCAGAGGGTGAAGCAAGGGGAAGGCACATTCCAGTGCAGAGCAGTGGCTGCAGAGCCCAGAGACAGTGATTTCAGGAGCCCCCAAACGGGCCAGATTATTCCCTCTGTGAGAGGCGGGGACCTAGATCTGGTATGTGGCAGTGTTGGGGGAACTCCAGAGCCGTTGGGGGTGGCCATGGGGCTCTGGGTTGGCTGTGAGGAGGGGACTCAGATCTGGTGTGGATGGGTGTTGGGGGAGCTCTGGATCCACTGGCGGGATCTGGGGGGCTCTGGGTTGGATGTGAGTCCATGATGTACTGCACCCAGCGCCCGTATTAGCTCTGATAAGTAACAATCCCGCACGGGACGTGGATCGCACCCTGTACACAGCACACGCCTGGGCACTGGTGAGTTTACCTGTTCACATTCCTATCAACACAGTCTGCTGCTCTTTCCAAGCTGCTGTATGACTCCCTCTGACAGCCCCTCAGAGACCCTGCGTCACAGCCAGCTGGGGAGCGGGCAGGCCTCCCCTTGGCCACCCATCAGCGTCATTCCCCCGTTGGCCGGCGGGAGTCGCTGTTGGTCCCTGGTAACTGCTCCCTGCCCCAGGATGGCTGTGCCAGGGCTGCTGTGCCAGGAGCAGCCTGTCTGATTCAGTGACGTTTCCTCTTCCTCCCCTTCAGAGTGCGGGCTCTGCCACCGGGCTGACTCTGATCCCGACACCTACGGGCAGAAATGTCAGTGGGGTAAGCTGTGTGTGCACGAGAACTGCCTGGTGAGTAACTCTCTCTTTCCCCGGGGGCTGATGGTTCTCCTGAGAGGTCGGGCCGATCCGCCTGCATCTCAGTGACCCACTCAATGAGACTCCCACCACCCCCTTTGCAGGGTCCCTGGGTGGAGTCCTGGCCCCACTCAAGTCCATGAGCCAAGATTTCACCTGCTATTATTATAGTGCACCTCCTTGGGCCACCGCTCAACGCTCCTGCTTGGGTGCATTCAGCCCTTTCCTAGATCCCGCAGCACAGAGAGATGCTTGCTCCTCTCTGCAGGACCCTTGTGATCGTCTCCAGGCTGCACTCCTGTGTGAACGTTCCAGAGAACGTCCTGGAGTTAATCCCTTTTTGAACTAGAGCAGATCTTGTAGAAACATGTCCAATCTGGGTTTTAAAATTCCCGGGGAAGGAGAGTCCATCCCAGAGCCTGGGAAGTCGCTCCAATGGCTAATCACCCTCACTTAAAATTTTGCATCTTTTTTTTCCAGTCTGAAGTTTTCTAGTTTCAACTACCAGCCATTGTGTGGGCTCAGGCCTTTCTCTGCTAGACTAAAGAGCCCAGTATCTTTAGTCCCCTGTCGGTATCATTCAGCCAAGCACTGTTCACCTTTCCGCACAAATTCATCCAGCCCATTGGTTGCTTTTCTCTGCATCACCCCCAGTTTGCCTCTCCCTGCCTGATGCTGGGCTGCCCAGACCTGGCTGTTGCATTCCAGCTGTGATCTCACTGTGGCTGTCGGGAAAGGAACGACCATCTCTTTGTGCCGTGAGCCCAGACCTTTGTGTAATTCTGGCTGGCTTCTCCTGCTGAGCTCATGCACCTCACTGTCACTCCTAGACCTTCATTGTCCTCATTAGCGGCATTGCTCAGACGTGTCTATCCCATGAGTTTCTAGGTGCGGCTGGTACTGTCCTTGGAAACATGCATTACAGACCCATAATGGCGAGGCACCGAATCAAAGGATTTGTCGAATACAAGATAGGACAGCAACCCCTTCTCTTCACTGCCTCGCGAATTACACTGAAAGCCACAAAACCTCCTGATTTGTTCCTCACCGGCACCCAAAGCCGCTTATTGCTCGTGGTTGCATCTGTCCTCTTGACATTTACCAACTTCCTCACATTTGCCCTCTTGGACAACGGGGGATTTAAATGAGGTTTACCACAGAGAAACGGTCAGGGTTGCTCTGGCTCCCCTTTCCCCTTGTACATGGCAGATGGCAGGGCTGCTACTACATGTCAGGCTCCTGCACCAGATATAGCCTGAGGCCAGAGCTTCCTTCTCAGGGAGACACCGAAGGGCAGAGATTCTCAGAAGGAGGGACAGCACCCCTCGAAATGAAGGACGTCGCATTTTCAGTTGAACACACCGTTTTATTCAAATATATAGAATGAGATCCAGAGAGCGTGGACCTTATTATAACGAAGTTAAAGAGCAGCAGATTGTTCGGTGTCCTGGCTCACCTGGGAGAAGCCCCCTCGCCATGGCTCCTTTTCCTCCCTGTTCTCCCATCCAGCACAGCTTGTTGGTGCTGAGCTTCTGACGTGTACAGAAGTTGCTGGAGTGACGCCCTTAGACCCCTTGCAAATCCCAGGCTTACTAGCCATTAAGCAGCTCAGCTCATTTAGAATCGTTAATTTGAGCTGGTGGGGATTTATTCTGACCAAAACCAAAATTCATCAGAAAATGCTGATTTGTTGAAATGGAAACTTTTTGGGGCGACTTTTTGGGGTGAAAATTTGGTCACAGAGGTTTCTGAGGTCCGGGATGGAATTTCTGGTGGGGAGAGAGGTTACAGTGTGCCCACGCTCCTGTGTTCCAGTACCACGCCAGCGGGCTGATCCAGAGGGGGAAGGACGAGGAGGGATTTTACGGGTTCCTGTATCCGGACATCAGGCAGGAATTAAAGCGGGCAGTTCGGAAGGTGAGGCCGAGCCGTGCTGTATTATTATTATCTGATATGTTGATTACAGTAGTGCCCAGAGACCATCCAAGAGCAGGGCCCTGTTGTCTGGGTGCTGTACAGACCCAGGGGAGTAGCCAGTCCCCAGGAGTGTACCGACGAACTAGACAGGCCAGGCCCAGGGTGTGGGGAAGGGGGATCACACACAAGCCGAGAGAACAATGTGATGGTGGCAAATGTGGTGGGGGCTGGAGTTATTTGGGAGGGGATTATCTACACAGGGAAGGGAGAGAGGTGGGGGGTCCGAGCAGGGGAAGACGAGGAGGTTGTGAGTAGGGTTGCCAGGTGTCTGGTTTTCGACCAGAAGACCCGGTTGAAAAGGGACTCTGGTGGCTACGGTCAGCACCGCTGACCGCGCCATTCAAAGTCCGGTTAGTGGGGCTGGTAGGCTCCCTACCTGGCTCCACATGGCTCCTGGAGGCAGATGGCATGTCCCTGCGGCCCCTACGTGCAGGGGCAGCCAGGGGGGCTCCATGTGCTGCCCCATCCCCGAGTGCAGGGTCCACATCTCCTATTGGCCGGGAACCGCGGCCAGTGGGAGCTGTGGGGGCAGTGCCTATGGATGGGGGCCTGGCCACGCCTCCGCCTAGGAGCCAAGGGACATGTCGCCGCTTCTGGGAGCCGCCTGAGGTGAGCGCCTCCCAGAGACCTCACCCCCTCCTGCGCCCCAACCCCCTGCCTCAGCCCAGTGAAAATGAGCGAGTGAGTGAGGGTGGGGGAGAGCGAACGCCAGAGGCAGGGGAGATGGAGCGAGCAGGGGCGGGGCCTCGGAGAAGGGGCAGGGCAGGGGGCGGGGCAAGCGTGTTCGGTTTTGTGTGATTAGAAAGTTGGCAAGCCTAGTTGTGAGGGGCAGGTGTGCAGAGAGCCTGAGGTAGGACATGGGCCACTGGCTCCCACTCTTCCTGCCAGCACAGGAGCTAGTGTGATGTGAGCCAAGCGAACGTTGTCCTGCAACACATTTGTTGGTTGAAAAATGCTGAGTTGACAAAACCACAATGTTTGGTGGGAACGTCTCCATGTCACCCAGATGTTGGATGGGCAATTATCCAAACGTTTCCTTTAGAGTCTCCTGGTTTGACTTTTGTTAATGGCTAATCTGGGCTGGGGAGGTCCCTTCCAGTCCTATATTTCTGAGAGCCTACAATATAATCTACGAGTGGCAAGGAAATCTTTAAGGGAGATTTTGTTTTGCGAACAATTCTGAGATTTCTACCCCCCCTCCCAATCTGGGACAAAATGCCATTTTGAAATCTCTGCATTCCTGGTGGGAGGGGTAAGTGGCTTCCCATCAGCTCTGTGTGACATTCCCACCCCGAGACTCTTTGTGATCTCCACGGAAGCCCTAGCACGGCTGGGACAGTGATCCACCGGGTGCGGATGTAGGACATGAAGCTGGTCGGAGGATTCCCTTTGCCTCCAAAGGGCTGTGGCAGGGACCTTGGGAGCTGCTGCCTGTTCTGCTCATCGTCCTATTGTTTCCAGACCTGCTGTGTGTGCGGCTGCAAAGGGGCATCCATCGCCTGCCAGGGCAGCAAGTGCACCAAGAACTTCCACTTCCCCTGCGGCTCCGAGAGAGGCTGCATCTATCAGTTCTTCGGGGAGTTTAAGTAAGCGTGGCTGCAAAGTCTCTGATGGGAAGCCTACTTAGCACCTCTTGGAGCAAAGGGCTCTGTCAGCGTTTGCAGGGTACACAATACACCTGTCAAAAACACCCCTGGGGTAGCGGGTGTCTTGTGAAAATGCTGGTGACAGAACCCCATAGCTGGCATTACAGGGGCAAACCAAGGGATGGCCCCAGTGCTGAGAGACTCTGATATCAGGAGCAGCCTTCAAAGGCCCGGCACGGATTCCGAGCTTAGGGGTTGGAAAATCTTTGGTTCTTTTTTTTCTCTTTTCCAAAAGAATACAATTGCAGCCCAACTCCCTGGGTGTGTGGGTTCCTGGTACCTGTCCCTGCCCCAGAGGCACAGGGGAGATAAGAGCTCTCAGAGGGGAGTGCATGCTGCAACCCCTCCCAGTTGCCAGGTGTCCGGTTTTCAAGCAGAACGCCCGGACGTAAAGGGACCCTGGCAGTTCCGGTCAGCACTGCTGACTGGGCCACGAAAAGTCCGGTTGGCGGCGCAGGCAGGCTCCCTACCCAGCTCCGCGCGACTCCCGGAAAGCTGCTGGCATCTCCCTCCGGCTCCTAGGCAGAGGGATGGTCACTGGGGCTCTGCATGCTGCCCCTGCCCCCAGCGCCAGATCAGCTACTCCCATTGGCCAGGAACCGTAGCCAACGGGAGCTGAGGGGGCGGTGCCTGCAGGCACGGGCAGCGCGGAGAGCCACATGGTCGCGCCTCCGCTTGGGAGCCGGAGGGAGAAGCCGGCAGCTTTCCGGGAGCCACCTGAGGTAAACGCTGCCTGGAACCTGCACCCTGCACCCCCTCCTGCACCTCAACCCTCTGCCCCAGCCCGGATGCCTCTCCTGCACCCTGAACCCCTCATTTCTGGCCCCATCCCAGAGCCTCCCCCCTCCAGCCAGAGGCTGTACCCCCTCCCACACCCCAACCCCCTGCCTCATCATGGAGCCCTCTCCTGCACCCCAACCCCCTCATCTCCCGCCCACCCTGGAGCCCCTACCTGTACCCACAGCCGGAGTCCTCACCGGCACTCCGTGCCGCACCCCAACCTCCTGCCCCACCCTGGTGAAAATGAGCAAGTGAGCGAGGGTGGGGGAGAGCGAGCGATGGAGGAAGGGGGGTGGAGTGAGCGGGGGCCTCAGAAAAGGGGCGGGGCAGGGGGCGGGGCTGGGGTGTTCGGTTTTCTGCCAATAGAAAGTTGGGCACCCTACTCCCAGAGGAGTGGAGCTTCCACGCGGCCCGTGGCCTCTGCAGCCCCAGGCACGAGCCAGTGACTGTCGTGCCTATCGGCTCTGCCCTCTTGCTGTCCCTCCCCCAGATCCTTCTGCTGGACCCACCGGCCGGTGCAGCAAGTGAGACGGTGGCAGCAGCAGGAGGAAACCATCTGCGTCGTCTGCTTGGAGTCCATGCCGGGGAAACCCTCCTACAGCGCCCTGGTGTGCCCGGCGTGCAAGCACGCCTGGTTCCACCGAGGCTGCATCCAGGTGCGAATCCCCTTTCCGCGCTGGTTCCTGGGGGTGGGCCAGAACCCCCCGGCCACGAAAGCCTTCGAGCCAACCCACGCGCAGGCTGCAGCTGTTAGATGTTCCCGCACTGATATGAATGTTTGAGGACAGTCCCTGGGGGCGCAGCCGGAGGTATCTGCCTGGCTGCTGCAGGGACAGACACAGCAGGGAAGGGCTCAGCGAGTATTTATGGAGCAGGTCTAGGATCACAAGCCCCATTCAGGGTCCCTGGGCCCCCACAAAGTCCAGCAGTAGGGGAGTCTAGAACCCCTATCTGGAGAAACACTTTGGCAAGGGTGGGGTGAAAGCCACCTAGGACCCAGAGTGACCCCTTCCTTCCGGCAGCAGCCTACTGTCACCCCCATATCCACCCTGAGCGGCAGCTCCTCTCCCCTGCGCTGGGTGGTGCCCACACTGTGTGAATCAGGCCCCACTGCTCTGCAGGCTATGGGGTGTACCGCTGGTACAGGAGGGGCCGAGCCTGGTCGCCTACTTGGAAGGTAACTTTCAGGGCCATTTTCTACCCTTCTCGCAGCCCATTTCCTGCCCTCGCGCACGACTCCTGGGGCTGGGCACCTGCACCCCCACCTCCTCCTCTGGGGGGCTTTCTCATTCCCGGTCTCACTTCCTCTGCAAGCAGCACTTGCCGCCACGGGCTCGTTGCATGTTGCGTTTGCTCTTTGCTAGTCAATGGCTCATTCACAGCCCTGCCTCCCCAAGCTGGCATTACCTCTCTTCCGCTGCAGGAATGTGATCTCTGCTCCCCTGCTTGTGTCTATCCCGCAGGGACACGCTCTCCGTGCTGCCTTGTACCATTTCCGATGCCCCAGGTGCCGGGACATGGGGACATTCCAAAGAGAGATGTTTCGAATGGGCATCAAAATCCCTGACAGGTCGGTTCCCTTTCTACCTTCGCAAAGAGCAACTCATAGAATCGTAGAAGTTTAGGGTTGGAAGAACTCAGGAGGCCATCTAGTCCAACCCCGTGCTCAAAGCAGGACCAATCCCAACTAAATCATCCCAGCCAGAGCTTTGTCAGGACGGGCCTGAAAAACCTCTAAGGAAGGAGATTCCACCACCTCCCTAGGGAACCCATTCCAGTGCTTCACCACCTTCCGAGTGAAAGAGTGTTTCCTAATATCCAACCTAAACCTCCCCTACTGCAACTTGAGACCATTTCTCCTTGTTCTGTCATCTGCCACCACTGAGAACAGCCGAGCTCCATCCTCTTTGGAACCCCCCTTCGGGTAGTTGGAGGCTGCTATCAAATCCCCCCTCACTCTTCTCTTCTGCGGACTAAATAACCCCAGTTCCCTCAGCCTCTCCTCAAAAGTCATGTGCCCTATATGCCGTTAGCCTTCTTGGCAACAAGGGCACACTGCTGACTCATATCCAGCTTCTCGTCCACTGTAACCCCTAGGTCCTTTTCTGCAGAACGGCTGCTAAGCCAGTCGGTCCCCAGCCTGTAGCACGGTGCATGGGATTCTTCCATCCTAAGTGCAGGACTCTGCACTTGTCCTTCTTGAATCTCATCAGATTTCTTTTGGCCCAATCCTCCAATTAGTCTCGGTCACTCTGGACCCTATCCCTACCCTCCAGCGTATCTACCTCTTCCCCCAGCTTAGTGCTCTCCGTGCGCTAGCTAAGTCACAAGATATGGGCTTGATGCGGGACTCACCGCCTGATCTGCTCTGGCCTGAGGTGCAGGTGGTCAGGCTAGATGATCAAAGCAGTCCTCAATTGCTTAGTAAATGTGCCATGAGAAATGAAAAAGCAGCCTGGAGTTTGTTGTGAGGGCTCCAGGCCCCAGTCCAGCGCCGGGCTCCTATGAGTAGCACAGAACAGGCTTTTTAAAGGCTGCACCAGATTCACCTTTGTAAATTGCAGCGCACTGGGACAGGACAAGAGCTCCTAGACTGCAGAGATGGGGACACAACAGCCTCCTGCCTCATCTGAGAGCGACGCGGGGAAAGAGTGCAGCTGCTCCAGGGCTTGGAAAGGGGCTAAGGCTGCCATGGGCCAGCGGGTGGGGCCCTGCCTGGCACTTCCAAAACTTGCCTTGTAGTCCTGGCTTTACTACTAGCCTATCCCAGACAAGTCACTGTACAATGGGGCTAACGGCACTGACCTCCGTTGGAAAGCATACTGAGGTCTATGGCTGGGGAGCACTTTCGAAGAGCTGACGGGCTGCGTTATATTTCTGCGTCTATTTTGGTAGCACATCTGATGACCTTGGAAACTCCAGGATGGTTGTCAGAGTCATTTTGTCTGGCTGAATCCACAGCATGAGGTTTGCCATGGCAAGAGGGGGATTCACACTGGCCAAAGGGAACGTGCCCCACAAGAGCCTGGATTCGCTGATCTTAGTGTTGTTATTATTATGCTGATGATTTATTCGGTGTAAATAGGGGCCCCATGACACTCCCACTGGTGGTGTAAGAGCATGAGCCACAAGATCAGGGCAGGCTGCAACCCCCCAGGACGCAAACCCCGAAGTGGCTGAGAGTTCTCAGCTTAGATTTCAAGGATATCCTTAGAGTCCTTTTGTTGAAGGTTTCTCAACCCAGCTGTGGGGTGTTGTAAGATCCCCCCAAAGCCCATCTGGTATCGACGGGTCTCCTCTTTCAGGAGACATGTAACAATTTCTGTAGAAGAACATCTCCACACTAATTAGTGTCCCTCTGGCTGTCTGGCGATTCAGACACTCTCAGACACTCACACAACACCCGCTCAAATGTTACATCGCAATGTGGAACGCAGCTCTCACAGGTCAGATCCCAGCAGGCAACAACACACAAGCATCGATAGACTCCGAACACCAACCACTTTCTTATCATTCTAACTAGATAAGTTCCTGGTGCGTAGGTCCATTAATGGCTATTAGCTAGGATGGGCAGGGAGGTGTCCCTAGCCTCTGTTTGTCAGAAGGTAGGAATGGGTGACAGGGGATGGGTCGCTTGAGGATGATCTGTTCTGTTCATTCCCTCTGGGGCACCTGGCTTTGGCCACCGTCGGCAGACAGGACACTGGGCTAGATGACCTTTGGTCTGACCCAGGGTGGCCGTTCTTATGTTCTTATACCTATTTTATGAATATTAACCCACAAGTGAGCCAGACAGATTCCAATTCTGTGTCCGTCAGCTCCCGGCTGGGACACGGGGACCTGGCATGAGCTGGCACCTGGTCTGCCAACGTCACAGCCCCAGCTCTGGAATGGGACTCCATTGCGCTCGGTGCTGTACAAACACAGATCAAAGAAACGGTCCTTGCCCCAGGGAGCTTACAGCCTGGTTCCCAGCATTTGAAGTGTTAGCACCGGGTGGATTCCGGTTCGAGGAACGCTAATTCCCCTCATTGCTCCCCCAGGGACGCCGCCTGGGAGGAAGACGGCGCGTTCAGTGACCAGTATCACAGACACAGCAGCTGTGACGCCGGCTGCTGCTTGTACGTGGGCGGCAGAGAGCAATCCGCAGAGGACGGGTAGGCAGTTAACTTCCCGGGGCTTGGCCCCAGGTGCATTCTCCCTGCTGCGCTGGGGCGGGGGTGGGGTTGGGTTCAGTCTAGGTCCTGCCCCTTGCTGGCCACTGGCAGCTCAGCTGTTGCCCAGCAGGTGCCACACGGCAATGGCTGGCTATTGGGGGATGGGGTGTGCCGGCCTGTTGGCGTGAATGCAGGCGGGTGCCTTTGTTCTGGTCTCCACGATCTCATTGCAGAGAGGAGCCGGGGCTGCAGGGCTGTAGCCCAGCTCCGCAGATGTATTTAGGCTCCTAACATCTGCTGAAACCCAAGGGAGTTAGGAGCCTAGGGGGCCTCCGGGGATCTAGGCCTGCACCCCACCTTCCCTCTGGCCGTCCCCGGCTCTCCAGCTGGGAGGTGCCGACACTGACCTTTTTGCCTTCCCAGCCCATGGCAGCTGCTGCTGTGCACCTCGTGTGGCTCCCAGGGGACCCACCGCCGCTGCTCCTCGCTGGGGGCCTCCGCGGGCACGTGGGAGTGTGAGGACTGCGCGGGGCCAGCAGGGGCGGGTAAGGAGCCTCTGGGACGAAGGCGCCCGGCACTGGTAGGGAGTTTGTCTGGAGGGGAACTCAGGGCTGAGGATGTGGCCGTTTCCCTCGGCGGGCGTCGGTGAGGAGAAGGCTCCAGGCTGGTAGGACCTGGCCCAACGCCCGTTGCAGTCGATGGGAGGCTGTCACTGGCCTTTGGATCGGGGCCCAGAGCATGGAGGCCGGCAAGATTCCCGGCTGGACACTCGATCCTAAGGGCTAAATCCCAGGCCGGCCCTGGGGCACCACGCCCATGAGAGACAACTCCTGACCTGCTCTGTCGGGGCGCGGTTAGCACCCTCCAAGGGACAGTCCCAGCAGCTCCTGGGTTCCTGTGGGACACTGGGGTCATCTGCATTGGGGCTCTGCGCCCGGGCACCGGCTCTGGGGCACCAGCACCCCCACTTCCACAGAAGCCTGTCTTCAGCACCCCTTTAAAGGGGTTTGTGGGAAGCTAGCGCTGCATGGGAGAGGGACAAACCCCATGCACAGAGGTGCCTGCCCCTGTGGAGAAGTGGGGGGCATGACTGACCCAATATTGGCCAGGGAGCGTTCCCCAGGTCCCCAATCCACGGCTCTGCTCCCCTGGAGAGACTGACTAGCAGAGCAGCAGACTTTGAAAGCCCCATCCCTGCGTCTCGGCAGCATTGCCGCGACCAGCCAGCCGTCGGGCATGTGCCATGCTCCGGCACGGCTCAGCTCCTCCAGCTCAGGGTCACTAGCTGCCCTCTCCTGCCCTGGGGCCGGGCACTGCTGGCTTTCCTGGGGCTCTGCAGGGGGCTGCCTGGCGGTGATGGTCACCCGTCTGCCTCTGATTCCAGCATCCCGCCAGCTCCCCGCCCCAGGGAGCCCAGCAACCAGCCAGGCTGCGTGTGAAGCCAGGGGCAGCTCCGGAGCGTCTGCCGGAGGCAGGAGGCCAGGACCCACCACACTCACCTCGAGATCCAGACTCTCCCGTCCCCGCAAGTGAAGACCCTTCACTGCCCCAGTCCCTGGCTCTGCTACCTACAGGTCAGTGAGCCGGTCATCCCACTGTTTATCCCCCCACATGTTCTCCTCTCCCACCGCTGCCGTCCGGGCCCTCCCTGGCCCCCACAGGCTCACCTGCTTTGACAGAAGGTGCATCTACGGCTGCCAAGGTCTGGATGTCCCTGGAGAGACACGCGCCCTGCCTTCCCTGCTGGCCAGAGCTCACCGTCTCAGGCGGGATCTCAGTTCTCCGCCCACGGCTCCAGCTCTCGCTCTCTCTCCTCCCTGGGGTTACCCACCACTCCCGGCTGTGGTGTCCTGCCTTTTATCCCCCTGCTCTGCCTCACTCGGGGAGGTGAAGGAGATGGGACCCGACACTGTACGATACACACCCTTACAGAACACTATCAGCTCGCTGGGGATGGTCAATGTTGCCCCGGTGTCTGAGAGGGAGAGCAAGTCACAGTGCGGCACTTCCCCGCGCTTCAGAGGTTCCCTCGCTGCCAGCTCAGAGTCCCCTCGGCCTGCCGTGGCGCCTCTTAGTGCAGGGAGCAGAGCCTTTTTTAATCCCTGGGCACGATTGGCTCAGACAGCCCAGCCAAGACTTTCAAAAGTGCCCAGGGATTCGGGTCCCTCGATTTCTGGGCCCCACCTCGACACAGTTTAAAGAGGCCTGATTTTCAGAGGGTGCGGGCTCAGCACTGAAAAGAAGGCTTCTTGCATGTGTCTGAAAATGGGCCCTCAAAATCGCTAGTCACTGTAGGAAATTTTGACCTCCTCCTCCTCATCTGTGGGCGCAGCCTGTCTCATCTAACCCTCAGTGCCGCCGTTTGCTCATGATCCCATCATCCTCCAGGCCTCCACACGTGATTTCTGCCACTATCTTCCTGGAAATCAAACCTCGATTTTCCAGGAGGGGCTTTAAGGATCTCTCATTACTGTATTTGAAGACTGGCAGCTCATTTGCTTTTATCTTGGGCCTTGTCTACACAGGAAAATTAATCTGGATCCAGTAAAGGTGTGAATTAAAACTGGATTAGTTAAACTGGATTAACCCCCTATGTTCACACTCTAATTTGGAATAAAATTGGCTTTAATTCAGTTTAGTTCAATTCACACCCTGATCCAGAATACGTATACTGGTATGAGAATGCCGGTAACTCTACCCCGCAGACAAGTTCCAGGACTTTAGTTCCCCTATGGCTTTTCAAAGCCACATGCCAGTGGGTTCATAAAGTCATTAGCTAATCTTGAAACATGCCGGGATGCCCCGGCCAGACATGCTGATTCATATGTAATCTCAGCTTCCACATGGTTCCTCTCCTTGGCCTTTTGCCAGCCGTTGGTTGATGCGACACAGTCCCAGTGGCGGTTTTCAAGGGTTCGGGACGTCCCTTTTGAGGCGGAAGAGTGGCCCAGTGGCTTAGCCGCATTCGCCTCACCTGGATCGCTGTTGTGTGTTACAGAAATGTCCCCGCGAGCTCTCACAGCGTGAGCGACGCCAGCAGGAGTGAGAACAGTGTCACCCGCTCAGGTGATCCCCCTCAGCGTGCCGCAGATCGCCCCGGGAGCACCAATGGAATTGTCTCCTAGAAAGGGGACTGATTTATGGCTGCTAATCAGGGGCTGGATTGGGGTCCGCCCCCCAGGGGGTTGGGAGAGGAGGAGGCTGCCAGGAACAATGGCTTAGGGCAGCAGATTGTTCCCCTAGCAGCACACGGACGGAAGTGGCCAGCCCCCAGCTCACGTGGGGAAGGGACAGGCTCCCGGCTGTACCCGCTGCTCTGCAGAGGGGCAGGGTGGGCAGCTGCCTGGTGCAGGGAGCCTGCTGCGTGCCAGGCTGTATGGGAGGGCTTTGGCTCCGGAGTCACCGTCACCCCAGCCCTGCACAGCCCCAAGGCAGCGCAGGGCCCCGGTGCAGGACCCAGCCTGTCGCAACGGGTAAAAATGAATCTCAGGCCAAGTGCAACTTGCTTTGGGCAACAGGCTCAAGGCAACGGCACGATGGCGCCAGCGCCCTCTAGTGACTGCCTGGGTCAATACCGCGCGTCCGCGGGCACTGCTGCCTCCAGGTGCAATGAGCTCTGACGCTGGCGGAACAAATTCTTTCCGGGCCGGCTGCCTTTGTGGTCCTCGCGCAGCCGCCGTTAGCTGCGAGGGCCCGAGCTGTCCGGGGCTTAGCACCAGCACTGGGCCAGCCCCATGGGTCACAGCGGCCTGGGGAGCTTGAGTGTAGACGGGCTGTGTCACGGAGTCCCCGGGCGATGCTCGGGAACTGCTCCCCATGAAGCCAGGCAGGACTCTGGGGAAGTCGCCTTTCCGTGAGCAGCCTGTCCCCAGGGCACACAGCTCCCCCGGCTTCCACCTCCCTGGGTCTGACCTCGGAGCATTCAGCCTCCTCTGCCCCTCCGTGCTCTTCCCACAGCGAGTCCACCCAGGCGGGGTCCTGGGGAAGCCAGAGGGTCCTGCCCCCCAACTCCGCAGTCAGACGTGACTCTCAGCCAGCCAGTAAAACAGAAGGTTTATTAGATGACAGGAACATGGTCTAACACAGAGTTTGCAGGTGCAGAGAACAGGACCCCTCAGCTGGGTCCATTTTGGGGGGGCAGTGAGCCAGACAACCACATCTGCCCTTCACTCCATGTCCCAGCCAGCCCCAAACTGAAACTCCCTCCAGCCCCTCCTCCCCTGGGCTTTGCCCCCCCCCCCGCCAGGAGGTCATCTGATTCCTTTGTTCTCCCACCCTTTAGCTCTCACCTTGCAGGGGGGAAGGGCCCAGGCCATCAGTTGCCAGGAAACAGGGTGTCGGCCATTCTCTGTGTCTAGACCCCTGCACACACCTGCCCTCTAGGGCTCTGCAATGATCATACACCCTTACTCCACCCCCTAGATACTTAAGAACTGCCTAGGGGAAACTGAGGCACCCCCACACTATTCAGAGGAAACATTAAGAACAGTCCCACTTCGTCACATCTCTCCCCCCTTCGAGATCGAACTGAGCAGGGTCACTTTAGCCAGTGACCTGGGGAAGTTAGAAGCCACCAACGTTCCCATGGATGCCCCAGCATCTCTCCCGTTCCTTGGTGGGAGTTACACCAGGCCATTCCAGTTTCACGCCCTCCCTTAGGTCGGGGATGGTCGATAGCACTCGCAGGCCGCATGTGGGAAGGTTTATGCGGCCCGTGCCCTTTGGCCACCCCAAAACCCCAGGTGTTCAAACTGGGATTGGGTCTTCTCCCCAACGAGCTGGCCAAACACAGACACTTGGTTATAGGACTGTTTAAGTTTCTTAACAGCTTTCACTTCATCTGAGACCTTCTCAAAGCTCTCCACACTGGGTCTTTCAACAGGACAGTCAGTGGATCCATTCACAGGAGAAAATTCTGGCTGTTAGGACCTGAAACTTTCTTGATTAAATCACTTTCACACCCGTTGCAGTTGCAGTAAACTGCTTGCAAAGACTCCATGAGGATTCCTTTCCCTAGGGCTTTTCTATGCAACAATTCACCCCTCACAGAAATTCTGCTCTTACCCTCTTCACCTAGGGCTTGCTCTAGAGGAACACTTTCCTGAGCAACAACAGACTCTTTCTGGGTCTCCCTTACATCCAGAATCACCTCTGGCCCATCCGGCAGATTCCTACACAATCCCCTTTCAGGCAAACTTACAGACTTCCTAGATAAAAGGTCAGAAGCATTCTCCTTCCCTTTGCCACACACAAGTTCAGGAATCTTTTCCTTCTTGCTACAGGTTTCCACACCCTCAGTAGGTAACACAATCACATCACCTTCATGCTCTCCTTGTGCCCTGGCTAGGATCTCACCCTGATTAGACAGAGTTGTTCCACCCTTTCCCAGCCACACACTAGCAACAGGCAAAATACAAGCACCAGAATTGTCTGGTCTCTGGGATTTTACATAGACACTAACTGGATGTGACCTAGTTACAGGGCCATTCTCCCGAGCAGACACAAACTTAGGACCCTTCCCTTCCTGGGCTTTAGCTGAATCCAGAACCAACTCTGAGACAACTGCACGACCCTCAACCATCACAGGCTGAAAGTTCCCTTCTGTCTGCTCCACAGACAAAGAAGAGCCGGACACACTTTCTCCTTTCCCAGACACACAGCTTGGGACCTCTCTCCCCTTGTCCCAGCACACAGGGCTGGTCACAGACAACTGCTTGGAGATCAGGGTAGCTCCCTCCACAGGCAAGTCAATACCCCTGACAGACAGAGGCACATTTCCTTCCCTGTCACACTTCTCCACCCAGCTAACAGATAAGGTCCAGGGACTCTCATCTTCCACTCTCCTCGCCTTCCCGCCCTGCTGACTAGACACAGCCATCAGCTCACAAGGCTGCCTAGGCTCATCCAAACTTTCCTTACCCAGCACCTTGCCACTCCCAACAGATCCCCTGCCCTGTCTGTGTCTCCCCCACTCAGCTGGGGTCTCAGCTCCCACTGTGCTCAGCGCTGCCCTTGCTGTCCCAGTGGGGACAGGCAGCGAACTCGGTTCTTTCCTCAGTGCATCAGAGCCAGCGTGAGCCCTCTGAGCCCCCCTCTCCGGTGTGCAAGGGGGCGCAGCTTCTCCCTGCTGCCAGCCAGGTCATCTGCATTTTCAGTGACCATTTCCCTCTCCACTGAGTGGTTCCCTGGATTCAAATTCAAACCCTTGGCAGTTACAGGAGCATGGCCTGGATCCTGTCCCAAAGAGACACAGTGACCCCATAACAGGGTCTCGCAGCTGGTGTCCTGGAGAAGTCCAACGACCAGCCAGCCTGACCCCTAGTGGGTCTGCACAGGGATCTGGGCCATAGGCAGGGCGAGGGGCTTCGTCCCTGGGACCCTCACCCAGCTCACCCAGCCCCTCAGCATCTGAGGCTGCACCACCCAGGGCCTGACAACAGTTCTCTCTGTCCCAGGATCTCGCCACCCCAGGAATGTCTCCCCATTGACCATCACCTTCCGCTCCCACTGGAGGGCCGAGGGGCCCAACCCCAGGAAACTCCACACAGACATATAGGTTGGGGTCAGGAGTGGGAGCCTGTTCACCTCCCCACCCATCTGGCTGACGGAGTCTATGGCCTTGGGACCCAGCAAGGAAGCTAGACACCGGGGCTTTTCCGCAGAGTCCCCCTGGTTCAAATCGCCAGCCTGCTCAAAGGCAGTGAGGTGGCGTCCACATCCCCCCCTCCTTAACCAGGGGCAGCAATTTAGTCTCGAGGTTCCCTGCGGAACTGGCCCCCCGGGGTCTATCCCCACTCACCCCTGGGGGGTCCCCTAGGCCTCTCCGCTCCCCCACCGCCAGTTCATGCTGCTGCTGCTTCTGCAGCTCTTTCTCGGGCTCTCGCTGTCTCTCACAGTCCTCGTGCTCTCTCGGACTCAGCTCCAATCCCGTCCATCCGTCTCCGATCCCCCGATGGGGAACCCGATCGTGAAGACCCCCATCTGGTCGGGGACAGGAGTCTTGGCGATGCCTGGCTCCCACTCCAGCTGCTCCCAGATCCTGCTATAGCCCCATTTGGGGTCAGGAATCTGCTCCTTAGAGCGGTCATCCTCCTCCAGCTGCACGATTAACTGTGCCTTGGTGAACTTTCCAATGCTCAACCCTCTCTTTTTGCACAGGGTTACAATGTCCTTCTTAAGGAGACGGTGACAGGCCATCACTCCGCTGTTCCCAAGTTGTTGTGGACTCACAGATCTGTGTGCTCTCAGCTCCCCACGGTTTCCAGGAAGAACCCCTAGTGTGCCAGCCCTTCTCGAGGTCACCGCCTCTTTGCCAGGGTCGAGCTGCAGACTCCTCCACCCCTGGGACCACTCGCTGCAATCCCCCGGGGGACCCTGTTACTGCAAAAGTCCTTCACTCTGGGTCACACACTCCCAGGGGTTAACAGCCTCCTGAAACCATCTCTCTCTGAATCTTCAGCACGCCTGGTCCCCATCAATCCCCCTTCGTTTTACTGCTCCCCAGTCACTTACTGCAGGAAGCGCCGTCCTCGGGGTGTAGTAGATCCCACGACAGGCTGCCACCAGTTATCACGGAGTCCCTGGGCGATGCTCTGGAACTGCTCCCCATGAAGCCAGTCAGGACTCTGGGGAAGTCTCCTTTCTGTGAGCAGCCTGTCTTCAGAACACACCGCTCACACAGCTTCCCCCTTCCTGGGTCTGACCTCAGAGCATTCAGCATCCTCTGCCCCTCCGTGCTCTTCCCACAGCGAGTCCGCCCAGGCGGGCTCCTGGGGAAGCCAGAGGGTCCTGCACCCCAACTTTGCAGTCAGACGTGACTCTCAGCCAGCCAGTAAAACAGAGGTTTATTAGACGATAGGAACATGGTCTAAAACAGTTTGCAGGTGCAGAGAACAGGACCCCTCAGCTGGGTCCATTTTGGGGGGCAGTGAGCCAGACAACCACGTCTGCCCTTCACTCCATGTCCCAGCCAGCCCCAAACTGAAACTCCCTCCAGCCCCTCCTCCTCTAGGCTTTCCCCTTTCCTGGGCCAGGAGGTCACCTGATTCCTTTGTTCTCCAACCCTTTAGCTCTCACTCTCCCCCCAACCCGCCCAATTTTGTCTGCAAATGGAATCCCCTGTGAAAGGAAGTAATGCTCGGTGAGAATGCTCCCTGTGGGATTCACTGCAATCCCTCTTTTTTCTTTCACAGCAAGTGGGCACCAGTGCTGGGAAGAGCTGTGGACCCCCGGGGTTTCCCTGCCGCTGCTCATCTCCATAACATCCCAGCCCTGTTGGAGCAAGGTGCTGTCCCCCAGAACCCAGAGAGTGGATACAAATCGCTATTTGACCGGAAGACCAGTTCCCCAGGGATTTCATGGCTGTGGAGTGTTGTAGGTCTGTGCGGTCCCTAGCAGCAGAGAAACCCCCATGGAAAATTAGATCCGAGTATAGTTTTGCTCTGAGATGTGTCTGTCAATGCTGCACAGCTCAGTGTCCTGTGTGGATCCGCACCACAGCTGCCGAGTTGTCTAAAAGAGTGTTGTTCTGCTTTTTACTCTGGTTAGCTCTGCAGAGCCCACGTGCCTTAGGAGAGGAGCTGGGGTCTTGTGTATCATTCACCAAATTCGCACTTGAGAGAACCCACTGGTGACAGTGGGGTGTCCAATGGGGGTTACTAGGCCATTACCCAATGACAATGGGGTACGTACAGGTGGTGTTAGATTGCAGGCACGCAGGAATGGGTATGTTACCTTCAGGAACGTTAAAGTTAAACAGGAAAGCTCCCATTAAGAAGCCCAGGACATTCAGAGCAAAGATTAATCTGTAGAGCTGGTCAGCAAATGGGAACAACGTAGACAAACTTTTTGTTTGTTTTCTTTGAAGTTTTCAGGGGCTTTTGTTGAAAAACTGTAACCCCCAAAATGTTATCAGTTGCTGAAAACCCCAAAATTTGGTTTTTGGCAACCCCCCCCAAAAAAGTTTAGGTGCAAATGGATTTTTTTGTACAAAAAGGCCATTTTCTCTCAACAGAAAAATCTTGCAATGGAAAATTTTGGACCAGCTGTTCGTAAACTGAAAGGGTGGAAGTTGATAGTTTGGGTAGCCAAACTATGTTCCTGTCATGGTTCAGGGATGAGCTGCATCTCTCTCAGGGCTTGTCCACAGGGCGCGTTAGTGTACAGCAAGCCAGGGTGTGAAGCTTTATTACGCTAACTTGCTGCACATTAACTTACCATGTAGACAAAACTTCAGTCTCTCCGGGGGCTCCCTTTCCAGCGATAAGCTGCCGCATGCACTTCTGTCGAAGTGGAATCTCGCCTTTCACCCCACTTTTACACTGGGTCTCCTGGCCACAGCGCCGCTGTTTCCCTCAGCAGGTCCAGCAGGGTTTGGCCCCTACTGTAGATTCCCCTTGGGAAGCTGCAAGCAGTTGATAAACACAGTGACACCCAACAGCTGCTTCACAGCAAAGTATTATTTATTTATCCCTAGGAACATAGCAAACAGAAAGCAAAGGGGCTCAAATAACAAAAGGTCTTACCCTCCCCCTCCCAACACACACACTGTCTTATCGAAGTTTAGAATTTCCCTCCAGAATTAGGTTGGCCCGACTTAGACCTGGGACGTGCTCTTCTGGGGACCCTCTAACAGTCTCTTTCTCTGCAGACCCTGCTTCTCTGTGAACTTCAGGGAGTGTCTCTTTAAAACCAGCCAGGCCCTTTGTTCTGCATCCACCTACTGCCCGACTTCTTCTTGCCACAAGCCAACAGTGTGTTGTGTCCAATTTGGACAGAGACCAAACTTCACAGGTCTTGACCCCTGTACTGTTTGTTATGCATTGGGGTTTGGGGCTGTCTATAGCCGCTGACTTCAGTTCCTGCAGAACAGAGCCACCTAGGACTGAGTTAACAATTTGCATCCATGTGGCAGATGGCATGATTGTAATCAGATAGCCAATTCATGAAAAAAATCCACATATCTCCTCTGTTCTTCATAGTCCCTTAGACCCAACCTCCCTTCTTCCCTTCTGTGCATGTAGCATACACAAATGTGCACCGGAGACCACTGGGTGTAGACGATGTCTCTAATAGTTGGCGTGATGCTTTGATACCATGCTAACGTTAGCTTCTTCCAGGTGCTCTGATTTCAGCACATGGGCAGGTGTGGTTTGCACATAGGCAGACTCTAGCTCTGTCTGTTGGAGGCCCCAGCACAACTGGCCCCAGGCCTGGCTGGCCTCTAGGCACCAATGCAGTGTAAATGTTACATGATAATAATAGCCTGGCTTATGGAATTATAGGGCTTGTTCCTGCAAGGTTCCTGAGTGCCATTAAGGGCCCTCAGCACTTCCCAGGATTGGGTCCCTAGTGAAGAATGGAGAATAGTTGCCTTCAGTGTGACTGCTTTGCTACAGACCACCAGGAAGAATTCAAAGAGAGCTCAAAGTTTGCCTTTTACTGTTTTCCTGTTTGAATGAGATGCTTGTGGTAAAAGATGTAAAGCTCCTTTTCAGCTGCTGAGGTCTGACCTGAACGAAGGACCCAGCGATGCTACAAGAACGGGCAGTGTTAAGCTGGGGATGTGGTCAGCTAGGCCAGTGTCTGCCCCGCAATCTGGACGCCACCTGCCTCCATCTGCACATTGCAAACTGTATCGAGGCAGACTTCCTTCCCCTGTGCGAGTGTCACACTGTGAACAGAGAGAGAGCGGTGAGCCAGGTTCCCTGAAGAAATGCAAAGTCACACACAGACTCTGGTCAAGGCAGGCAGCCATGCAGCCAGGGCAGTTACTGTGAGCGTGCTGGGAAAGAAAGCACTTGTCCTGGAAACGCCCTCCTCTTTGGCGTGAAATCGGTTCTCTTGGACGCAGGAGGCTGACAGAGCAGCCTGGGCCCAGGCACGGTGCTGTGAGGCTGCTGCTGTGAGCACTTGCCTCCCCTACCTTTGACAACACACCTCAATCGGACCTGCAACATCTTGTGCTATTGCAATCTGAGCCCCCCCATGCAGACCGGTCAATACACCATGACGGTGGCCAGCTGCGCTCCCAGCTACTCCAGCACAGCCCCCACCTGCTCTGCCAATGCACTGCTGTCCTAGGCTGGAGTATCCCCTGCTCCCGCCAAAGCACCTGCCTGCTGCCTGCAGGGCCAAGACCCTGCTAGCCCGAGGCTGTGGAAGTACAGTAACGTCCCACCGCTCCAGATATCACCATTCGCCAACAGCGCCACCTGGCGCCAGCTGCCCCTTAGTAACCGTCTAGCCAAACCTCGTTAATTCGAGGCAGTGACTATTGTTGTTTGGTTACTTGCTAATTTGAAAACAACCCCCGCTCCCCCCCCCCCCACCAGCAAGGTTCACACATGATAAAGACAGGCGAGAGCACCATATCCCGCCATGCACTCTGTTCCTCTAGGCTGATATATGGATGTTCCACAGTGTTTGTAGCATGAGCTTAGCCCTGCCAGTCCTCACTCCAGCCTCAGCTGGTAAAACTCTGCTACCAAGAGGGAGGGTTAGTGGAGACCAAAAACCGGGTCTGAGAATCATCAGTTTGTGGATAAAGGGCAAGGGATTGTTCTGGTCAACACTGTATGTCTGCCACGCTCTGATACTTACCTCCTGGCCGGATGGGGGCAAGTGGGACCCTGAGTCTGTCACTTCAGAAGCATTTTGGTGAAGTTATTTCTGGAACACAGTCGTCTTTATGGCAGTACTTGGGGCTCACAACTGGGAGGAAGAGAAAGGGAATTAATACGAATACCTAGCTGTGATATAGCGCTTTTCATCCATAGTGCGCCAGGTGCTTTACGGTGGAGGCCAGTATCCCCTCTCTACAAACAGGGAAACTAAGGCACACAGCAGTGAAGTGACGTGTCCAAAGTCACGCTGCCGGCTAGTTATGGGATTAGAACCCAGCTGTCCTGCAGCTTAGTCCAGGGCCCTATCCACTAGGTCACACTGCCCCTGACAGGGCTTAGTGCCTTTGATAACAGTGGCTAGCTGCATGGAATTTAACATATGAAAAGGGGGTTATATGGTGACTTGGGTTCTGTGTTCGTTAGTAGCGAAACTAAACGGGATGCTCTGATGGTCACTCACGCCGCTTCCCTCCCCGGGTTAGTTGCTGTTTGGCATGGAAGGGGTTCTGCCTTTGTCTGGCACTTGTAAAATTCCCAGAGTGACTGTGTGATCTCGGTTGAGTCATTTTGCCTCTTTGTGCCTCAGTTTCCCGGTCTGGATGCTACCACTCCTGCCAAGGGGCGTGAAGCTTCATTAATGAGTGTTGGTGGAAGCCTTTTGCCCCCTCAGCTGACGGGCGGGCGGTGTCTTGGCTGTGGCGTCTGGCGCACTTCGGCGTTCGCAGCTGGGACCTGAGTGCCAGACAAGGGTGTCAAAGCTGCTTACCAGATTTTTATGTCCCTCTCGCTCAGTGGAGCACGGAGGCCAGACAGCCCTGAGCGAGCTGGGCCTGGCGCTGAGGAGGACACCGGCCCCGTGCCTGGACTAAGACACGGGCTGGGGTTTAGGTCAGTGGGTCTCATCTGGGTCAGCTGAACCTGCTCCGAAGGAAGATGCAGGTAAGAGCTTGAGCTCCATTGTGGCTGGTCCAGTTGTAGCGTGGCCAGGAGCCAAGGCCGGACCTGGGGCAGCTGAGTCCAGCCTGTGGGGTGGGGTGGGGTGGGAACGGATGTGGGGGAGGAGCTGGGTTTGGGGCTGGGGAGGGGCGTTGTGGTGGGGGGGAAGGGCAGAAGCATTTTGGGGTGAGAGCAGGACGGGGGCTGGACTCTGTGGGAATGTGAAGTGGGAGAGGTGGGTTTGGGGACTGGGGAGGAGGCTTGATGGGCTGGGGGGAGGGGGAGGTAGTGAGGCCGGATGGGGTCCTAGAGGAGGGAGGGATTTGGCCATGGAGGGAGGCCGAGGAGTTTGATTTTGTGGTGGGGAGGAGGAGGGAGGGAGTGTTATGGGCTGAGGTGAATTTTGTGGGGTGGGGGGAGGACAGGCTGGGTGCATCCAGTCCCCACCCACACTCCATTTCTTCCCATCCATGCCCCTGCCCACCACCCACACCTCCTTCCTCCCCTCTCCCTCCCCTCCATCCCCAGCCCCCTGCACGCCCACACCCCCCTTCCTCCCATCCAGGCCCCTGCCCCTGCTCACACCCCCTTTCTCCCATCCCCCTCCCCTCCAACCGCACCCCCTTTCCCCCCATCCAGGCCCCTGTCCCCTTCCCCCTGCCCACACCCCCCTTCCTCCCATCCAACCCCCTTCCCCCACCTACACCTTCCTTCCTCCCATCCAGGCCCCTGCCCCCGCCCACACCCTCCTTTCTCCCATCCAGCCCCCTTCCCCCACCTACACACTCCTTCCTCCCATCCAGCCCTTGCCCCCCGCGCACACCCTCTTCCTCCTATCCAGCCCTGGCCCCACACCCACACCGCCTTCGTCCCATCCAGCCCCCTGCCAACACCCCCTTCCACCCACCCAGGCCCCTACTCACCGCCCACATCCCCTTCCTCCTACCTAGACCACTGCCCTCCCACCCCTTTCATCCCATCCAGGCCCCTTACCAAAAACCCATTCCTCCCATCCAGCCCCCCCATCCCCGCTGTCTTCCTCCCATCTAGCCTCCTCCCCTCGGTCCCCACCCCCTTCCTACCATCCAGCCTTTGCCCCACACCACCTTCGTCCCATCCAGCCCCCTGCCCCTGCCCACACCCCCTTCCTCCCTTCCAGCCCTTGCCCTCGCCCACACCCCCTTCCTCTCATCCAGCCCCCCGCTCCCGCCCACGCTCCCCTGCCTCCTATCCAGCCTTTGCCCCACACCGCCTTCGTCCCATCCAGCCCCCTGCCCCTGCCCACACCCCCTTCCTCCCTTCCAGCCCTTGCCCTCGCCCACACCCCCTTCCTCTCATCCAGCCCCCCGCTCCCGCCCACGCTCCCCTTCCTCCCATCCAGCCTTTGCCCCACACCCACACTGCCTTCCTCCTATCCAGACCCCTGCTCCCACCCACACCCTCCTTCATCCTATCCAGGCCCCTGCCCACACCCCCTTCCTCCCATCCAGCCCCCTGCTCCCGCCCACACCCCCTTCCTCCCATCCAGCCTTTGCCCCACACCCACACCACCTTCGTCCCATCCTGCCCCTGCCCACACCCTCCTTCATCCTATGCAGGCCCCTGCCCACACCCCCTTCCTCCCATCCAGCCCCCTGCTCCCGCCCACACCCTCCTTCTTCCCATTCAGCCTTTGCCCCCCACCCACACCCCCCATTCCTCCCATCCAGCCCCCTGCCCCCACCTACACCCTCCTTCCTCCTATCCAGCCCCCTGCCCCCATCCCCATCCGCTGCCTCCCATCCAGCCCCAACCCCCACCTACACACTCCTTCCTTCCATCCAGGCCTCTGCCCCCGCCCACACCCCCCTTCCTCTTATCCAGCACCCTGCCCCCAGCAACACCCCCTTCCTCCCATCTAGCCACCTCCCCTCGGTCCCCACCCCCTTCCTCCCACCCAGTCCCCTGCCCTAACCTACACTCTCCTTCCTCCCATCCAGGCTCCTGCCCACCGCCCACTCCCTCCTTCCTCCCACCCAGTCCCCTGCCCCCCACCCCGTTCCTTCCATTCAGCCCCCTTCCCCCACCTACACCCTCCTCCCTCCCATCCAGGTCCCATCCGCCTGCTCCCCTCCCACACCCTCTTCTTCCCAACCAGCCCTGGCCCCTGCCCACACACCCCTTCTCCTTCCCAGTCCCCTGCCCCCCCACCCTTTTCCTCCCATCTCACCTTCCTTCCATCCCCTCCCTCCCATCCACCCTTTACCACACCCCCTTCCTCCCATCTAGCCCCCCATCCCCACTTCCTTCCTCCTATCTAGCCTCCTCCCCTCAGTTCCCACCCCCTTCCTCCCATCTAGCCCCCCCATCCCCACTTCCTTCCTCCTATCTAGCCTCCTCCCCTCAGTTCCCACCCCTTCCTCCCATCCAGGCCCCTGCCCCCCGCCCACACTCCCTTCCTCCCATCCACCCTCCTGCCCCCGGCACACCCTCTTCCTCCCATTCATCCCCCTGGCCCCTGCCCACACGCCCTTCCTCCCACCCAGCCCCCTGCCCCTGCCCACACCCCCCTTCCTCCCATCTAGCACTCTGCCCCTACCGACGCCCCCTTCCTCCTATCCAGCCCTTGCCCCCCGCATACCTCCTTTCTCCCATTCAGCCCCCTGCCCCCACCCCGTTCCTCCCACCCAGTCCCCTGCCCACACCTACTTCCTCCCATCCAGCCCTTGCCCTTGCCCCTGCCCCCCACCCCTTCCTCCCACCTTGTCCCCTGCCCCCCACCCCTTTCCTCCCATCTAGGCCCCTTAGCACACCCCTCTTCCTCCCATCCAGCCTCTTCCCCTGGGTGCCACCCCCTTCCTCCCATCCAGCCCCCTGCTCCCCGACACCCTCTTCCTCCTATCCAATTCTTGCTCCCCACCCACACCTGCTTCCTCCCATTCAGCCCCCTGGTCCCCACCCACACCCCCTTCCTCCCACCCCAGCCCCCTTCCCCTGCCCACACCCCCCTTCCTCCCATCTAGCACTCTGCCCCCCCCACATTTCCTCCCGTCCAGCACCCTGCCCCCACCGATGCCCCCTTCCTCCTATCCAGCCCTTACTCTCCCACACCTCCTTCCTACCATTCAGCCCCCTGCCCCCCCTTTCCTCCCATCCAGGCTCCTTCCCACATCCCCCTTCCTCCCATCAGCCCCCCCATCACCACCCCCTTCTTCCCATCCAGTCCTCTACCCCCCGCCCACACCTGCTTCCTCCCATCCAGCCCTTGCCCCCCGCCCACATCCCCTTCCTCCCATCCAGCCCCCCATTCCCACCCCCCTTCCTCCTATCCAGCCCCTTCCCCGCACCCCCACCCCCACTTGCCCACATCCGCCTTCCTGCCCTCCAGCCCCCTGCCCAGACCATTTAGCTGCTTGCCCCAGCTCACAAGCCCCGTAGATGCTCCGGGAACCTAGGGCGTCCCCCCCACAGACGAGAACCCCCGAAGTAAATCACTTAGCCGATGTCTGTGCAAGTGGGGCTTGCTCCAGCTCGGCAGAGGCCCCGGCTCAGCCTTCAGGAGCCGTGCACTCAGCCGCCCCGTGGGTCCGTCTCTGGACGTCTTCTCATCACCTTCCTCCCGTCAATGGGCCGGCGTCCGCGTGCGTCTCTAAAGATGCGGCTCTGCTACCGACCCTCCACCCCCAAAGCGCCCTTCGGCTGGGTCATGCAGGGAGAGGGCTGGCCGACGCCGTCAGTTCTTTCCTCGTCCCCGGTGGCTGGGTCCGGTTCGGCCACGGCCCCGTGGAGGGGTGGGGCCCGGCGTTGCTGTCTTGGGGCTCTGCTGGCAGCCTCACGTGCAGATCGGGCCTGCCTGGCAAGCCGGAGGCCGCGACAGGCGTGCCCCCCCCACCCCCCGACCTGGCTGCAGTCCCCAGCCTGTGTATTCATGGCCGTGCTGGCAGAGTCGTCGCTGGTCTCAGGCGGCTGCTGGGCTCCTCCCCGGCGCGTCCTGGCCAGGCCTGTCTGGCAGCCTTGCGTGGGCGCCGTATCTCGCCCCCGCACGCGCTGCACTCGCGGCCGCGTGGCTGGAGTCCCCGGCCCCCGCGGCACCGGCTCCTCCGGGGCGTCCCTCCCGCCCGGAGCCGCCCCAGCACCCGGTAGTAGACGCGGCAGCTGAAGCCTTCCCGCAGACCCTGCTTCACGTGCTGGGTCAGGGCCTCCAGGCTGGGGAACACTCGGCAGCAGGCCAGGCACCGCAGGCCCTGCTCGGTGGTGAGGAGCCACTCCGGGGTCGCGCCCCACGGCGGTTGCGGAGCCTCCTCTGCTGGCCCCCCAGCGCCGCCCTCTGGCTCTGGGTCCACGTCCCCCAGCTCGGACTTGGTGTGGGAGCTGCTCAGGTCCGACCCGGCAAAGCTTTCTCCTCCGGTGTAATTGGCCTTAAAGATGCGGGGGCGCTTCCTAATGGCCCCAAAGCCGGCCCCGGTCTCCCAGGCCACCGAGACGCCGTTCACGGCCCTGACCCTCATGTAGAAAAGGGACTGTTCTTCTCCCTCCCCCTCGGCCTCCCTGGCACGGGCCGCGCGCTTTTTCGTCACGCCTGCGCCGGGTGGCTCACGCGGGGGCTGCACACACAGGCGGTTGGAGGCCTCAGGTGCCACGCCGCGGGCGGATGAGTGGCTGGTGACGGATGTGGCCGTGGAGGTCTGCTCGCTTGGGTTCCTGGGGCCGGCAGAGGCAGAGACCCCCTCCTCCGCTGTTTCCCCGGGAACGGGGCTCCCAGCAGAGACCCCCTGACGAGGGGGCGACTCCCCTGATCTCTGCGACTCTGAAAGCAGAATGACAGCCCAACTCCGGCGGCCATCGCCCCCCTGCCGTGAGTCCCCCACCGGCTCCCAGCCCTGTGTCCCAGGCCCAAAGGGGCACCCCGCAGGCAGTGGGAGGGGGTGGGCAAGGGGACGCACTGAGTACGGATATCAGGGGAGCACCCAGTCAGGGATCTGACACGCTGCCCCCAGGGAAGGGCCAGAGCCCCCTCGCTTGGCACACTGGAAACTAGGCTGGACAGAGCCCTAGACAACGTCCCGTCAGTGCAGATGCTGCCCTGGCCCCGGGGGATGGACACTCTGCCCATTGGTCTGCCCCAGCCCTCACATCTATGACCCTGGCATGGTTACCAGGAGCAGCCTGAGACCTGGCTGTGCCCATCTCCAAGGCCCCTGGCGTAGGCTTGATACTTCAAGGGCCCAGGACTCTGCACTGGCGTTTCTACATGGAAGAGCCATTTTGTGCCCCCAGATATGATCTCTACTCCTTAAATCTCCTCTTCCTGGTGTCTCCTTCACCCCTGGGGGGCTCTGTGTTTCCCCCTTCCTCTTTTCCATTTAACCATTTAGAGGCCCTCTCTCTCTCCCCACTTGGGGAATCTGTTTCTTCCACTGTGCCCTGGGGTCTCTGTCTCTCTCCCCTTCCCCCTTTGAGACCCTTACCTCCCTGGGGCAGGCAAAGAGAGAATTCAAGTTCATCCTTGACCTAGGACCCCATGTGCCCTGCCAGCCTCTCCCTCGAGTGTCCTGTGGGCCCAGGGAATGTCCTGCTCACCTGACCCCTCCTGGGCAGCTCCAGGATTCACCTCTGGGGCATCAGCAGGAAGCCCCTGGCTACGCATCATGGTCCTGGGTCTGGGGACTCGGGCCAAGCCTGGTGCCTGTCACAGTCCTCGAAACCTCCTGGATTCTCTGTCCCAGCACCAGCTGGAAGGTCCGGGTCTCTGCTGGGGAAAGGATGGCGGTTTTGGTCCAATTCTCCAACTAAATCTCCAAATCTCACCATGCAGGCAGCAGAGACAGGATCACGATTGACCTGAGCCAAGGGTTTGATCCAAGTGGCACCAGACTGTTGTGGTCTAAATAGTCCTGGAATGTTCTGGTCCAAACAGCGCTGTTTGGATCCAAATAGATCAGAAGTTCTGAGCTGGGTGAGGCCGTTGCCAGCTGGGATGATAACGCTTGGTTCCGTGCGACCTGCTCTTGGGTCCCGCCGACCCTCCTCGAGTCCCGTCCAGGGAGGGCCGAGTTAATGACGTCCCAGCCAAACCACTCAGCTGGGTCTATGCTGCACGAGCCCCGGGCGGGCCCATCCGGGGTCCGATCAGGGAGGGTGGAGCCATATTAGCCTCTGGCTTTGTGCTGGCACAGACTGAAGAGCAGGCCCATTCATATTACTGTTGATTTGGCCCAGTCAGGACGAGGGCCATTGCTGGGCGCTGCCCACACCACAGTGAGAGACGGTCCCTGCCCCGATGAGCTGCCAGTCTAAACAGACAAACAGAAATAGACAGACAGTGAGTCCCAACCCAGCACACTGTAGGCAGCCCAGCCCTAGCACAGAGCTCCTTTGAGACGCCTCCCAAAGCCCCAGTTTTAATTCCCCAAACCACCATGCCCCTCTGCCCACGTGCCCCAGGCAGGCCTCCTTGCTGTGCCACCATTCACCCCACCCCGACCCCACAAATAGAGCTGCAAGCTCCACGTGGGAAGGAAGAGATGGGGCAAGTGTACCTGGTCAGGAGTGTCTAATGGTGGCTCCTGGTTGCTTTTCTTCCTCCCCCTGGAGGCCTCTGAGACCCCCACCAGGATCTAGCTGTCCCCCAAAGAGACACCAAATCAGCAAAGGCCTCTCAAGGCTTAACTCATGCCAAAGCTCGGTGCCGTCTGGTAAAAGGGACACACCCCAGCCAATGCCGTGTAACTGCCAACTGCACCCAACCCCACCTCCAATTCAGGTCCCAGGGGACCTGAACCCCTGGTCAGAAGTGTGATGTCCACCAGTGGGTCCTCACACCCCGATACACCTGCCCCTCCCCCCCTGCACCCCTGAGCTCCTCAGCCCTGGGCACTCTGGCCCACGGACAGCCCCATCACTGACAGAGGCACCAAGTTCTCCCCAGTCTCTGAGACGTTAATAGTGAATCTTTTCCTCTGGGGAGATTCTCTCCTTGCAGTTCCCATCCAGCCCTGTTGTAAGTCAGAGACCCTCCAAGGCCCCTGCTTAACACTCCTGTGGGGAAGAGCTGTGGGGGGGATCCCAACCCAGCTGCATCTGGTGAAGGGCAGGTCTTCTTCCTGGAGGGGCCTTGCCCCAGGCACTCACCAGGGGGCGCCATTCCAGCTGTGCAGTGCAGCTGTTCCCCCCAAGCCAGGCTGCAGGGAATGGACGTGGTTCTGAGCAGAAAGTGCCGGGGTAAATGCTCTGGGTAAGAAGCTGGTGATGCACATCCCAGGCCTTTTCTTATGGCCAAGTGCTGTAGCATCACAGTCTCAGCCCGATGTGCTGCAGGCCCTTGGGGGCCACCAGCTGCGGCTTTTAGAAATGCTCTGGTGTGTAGTCACTTTCCGGTGTGAAGCTGGGAGACAGCTCCCTCCCACCAGGCTACTCCGATTGGCTGGGGGGAGTGCTACTCAAACACACAGAATTAACTCTGGCCCTTGGGGGGAGAGTTGAACGAATGGTGTGGGGCAGCCTGGGAAATTTGGCTAGAAAACAAAGCAGCAGCAGGACAGGAGTCCTGAGCTGGGGCAGGGTGGGAGAGCCGGCTGCTGGCAAAAAGGAATTTGTGTAAACTCTCAGCCTTCAGCAGACAGGAGCTGAGACCAGTAACCGACCCGCCACGCTGAGCTCACCCAGCCTGCCAGCACCATCCAGAGCACAGACCTGCTGGGCTGACCCAAGGGGGAGAAGGTTGCATTGGCCCGGGGCAGAGAGTCTGTGTGTGTCGAGCCAGGCTTGCTGGGGGGGGGGCGGGACAGCTGCTTTGCTGTAAGCTGTGCTGTGTAACCCCTACTGGGGGTCGTGGCCTGGGTCTGCTCCGGGTTGCTGTTGTTATGGGTGGTGGTCATTCCAGGGGTTAACTCTGACCTCCTACAAGGGAGGGTTGGGGTTTGCACAGAGGTGTTTTGCTGGGACCTTTGCTCCAGGCCTGGCAACCCCCACCTGACATACTCAAACAGTTTCCTGATCTTGAACATATTGGTCCAACGTTTCACCCTTGAATTCTATTTGTAAGCGGGGGAATAGTCCCGCTATTGTGGGGAACTTTCCTGGCTTCTGCACTACCCTGGTGAAGTGGGCTAGTGAAAGGATCTGAGTCCTCGCTCCCACTTCCTTTACCCAGTGGCCTCCCTGCCCTTGAGGACTCCCCTTGCACCCTCCTGTCTGGCAGAGTCCTCGTAACCCCAACAAGGCTGGGCCCAGGATTCGTGGGGAGCTCGACCCCCAACCCTGCTGTGGTCACCTAGGACAGGGGCTAGGGTGTCCCCACTCGGGGGTACTCTCTCTGCACTGGGCACTTCTCTGACCCCTGATCATTACATACAAGTTAAAGCAAATGAAAGTTATTTAATCAACAATTAATTTTAAAAGAATAAGGAAAAATGGGAAAGGTGAAAGGAAACACATCACCCCGCTCTGTGGCAGGGAACATCACAAACAGCGTCTCTGGAACGTCAGGGCAGTTCACAGTCTGCTCCTTGCAAGTCCCAGGCCTCCTGCTCCGGCCCTGGCTGTGCTGCAGGGATGCTGCGGGTCGGACACTCGCTCTGGAGGTGGCCTCACGCTCTCAGGCTCTAGGTGGCAGGGCCCTTCTTCCCAGTGTCGCCCCCGCCCTGTCGGGGTTACGATCCAAGCCTGGCCTGCAGAGCCTCTTGACTGAGACGTCTCCCTGTGCTGGGCCCGTGCCCAGGGTCCCCCTCGCTCTCCCCAGCTGCTCACCGCATCCAGCTCCAGACTGCCCCAGCCCCAGCTCCACCACTCGGTCTCTGCATGGCTGCTGCTCTGCCTCCAGCTCCCTGGGCTGCTTCTCTGGCCCCTCTGGCTCTGGTCGCTGCAGCTCTGCTCCCAGGACAGGGTCTGCTCTCTCTGGGCTGTGCCTCTGGTCCCTCTGGATCTGGCCCAGCTCTGCTCCCCAGCTCAGCTCGGGCCCCTGCTTTCTCCTTAGCTCGGCCCCACTCTGTCTGACCTAGGCAAATCCAGCTCACACGGAGGACGGGACCTCCCTGGCCTCCTGACCCCCTGATTAGCCTGCCCGCCCTGTCATTCAGGCTGACCTGGAGCAGTGGCCTCTCCCCATTGTTCCTGGGGGCTGTCAGTCTCAGGGTCCTGGTTTCCCATAGACCCTTCCTCTTTTAGTACTGGGAGCTAGCAACTAAAACACCCCCCCTGAATGTTAGTAAGGGGGCAACAGCCCCCCCTGTCATAAATATAAAGGGAAGGGTAAACCCCTTTGAAATCCCTCCTGGCCAGGGGAAAGCTCCTCTCACCTGTAAAGGGTTAAGAAGCTAAAGGTAACCTCGCTGGCACCTGACCAAAATGACCAATGAGGAGACAAGATACTTTCAAAAGCTGGGAGGAGGGAGAGAAACAAAGGGTCTGGGTCTGTCTATATGCTGGTTTCTGCCGGGGATAGACCAGGAATGGAGTCTTAGAACTTTTAGTAAGTAATCTAGCTAGGTATGTGTTAGATTATGATTTCTTTAAATGGCTGGGAAAAGAATTGTGCTGAATAGAATAACTATTTCTGTCTGTGTATCTTTTTTGTAACTTAAGGTTTTGCCTAGAGGGGTTCTCTATGTTTTTGAATCTAATTACCCTGTAAGATATCTACCATCCTGATTTTACAGGGGGGATTTCTTTATTTCTATTTACTTCTATTTTTATTAAAAGTCTTCTTGTAAGAAAACTAAATGCTTTTTCATTGTTCTCAGATCCAAGGGTTTGGGTCTGTGGTCACCTATGCAAATTGGTGAGGCTTTTTATCCAACATTTCCCAGGAAAGGGAGGGTGCAAGTGTTGGGAGGATTGTTCATTGTTTTTAAGATCCAAGGGTCTGGGTCTGTAGTCACCTAGGCAAATTGGTGAGGCTTTTTACCAAACCTTGTCCAGGAAGTGGGGTGCAGGGTTTTGGGAAGTATTTTGGGGGGAAAGACGCATCCAAACAGCTCTTCCCCAGTAACCAGTATTAGTTTGGTGGTGGTAGCGGCCAGTCCAAGGACAACGGGTGGAATATTTTGTACCTTGGGGAAGTTTTGACCTAAGCTGGTAAAGATAAGCTTAGGAGGTTTTTTATGCAGGTCCCCACATCTGTACCCTAGAGTTCAGAGTGGGGGAGGAACCTTGACACCCCCTTACATATTGCAAGACATTCCTTTTCCACTGGGCATTTCCTTGTTTTGTTGGCAACAGCGACCTTGGTGTGAAAGCTACCATCTCTCCCTGTTGCAGAAGCGAGACCCCAGGCCCCATTCCGCTGTCAGGCTGTCTCTCCATTCACATCCTAGTATTTCAGGGCAGGATAGTTGGTCACCGGCTCCTTGATACGTTGCAGGCTGAATCATGCTGAAGCACCCATGTCCAGCCTGCAGCTTTGTCCCGCAGTCGTCTCAGGGGCTCACATACATCTCAGAGGCTTGGGAGTAATTTTGACAGATCAATAAAAATCCTAGTTCTCTCTGAACTGAGTGAATATCTTCAGGTGTTGGCGTACACCAGGCGCATTTGCAGCGGAACGGTTCCAGCTTGCGCGTGGCAGGTGGAGGGTTCTGCTCCTTGCCAATTCCTGCCTCTGTTGTGAAAATCAAAGGTGTCTTTTAAACCCATCAGCTGATGTGTCCTGCCAGATTTCTAGATGCCTCTGAGCAGTGTCCTCATCCTGACAAAGCAGATGCCATGTGTGTCTGTCTGGTAGATTTCTGTGCATGGGTGGGGGTATAAACTGGTGGGGGCTCAGCTCGGATCAGTGGCCTGGAGGTTGGGGTTTGGGGCAGCTGGTGCAGGGTGGCCAGGGCCAGCTGGTGGACAGGGGCAGCTGGAGTGCTTCGGCCAGGGCTTCTCTGGTCGCACTGGTGGGGAGTGGGGTCTCAGTGCTCTGGTGGGTGAGGTGGGGTAGAAGAGGCAGGTTGGAGTGGGGCCTCAGGCGGAAGGGGTGGGACTGGGGGTCTAGCATCCCTGAAGGGGAGGTTCGCACGCCACCCATGCTTGTGTGTCTTGCTCCCAGGGTTTCATTCTGTGATGTCATCTTTGGGGTGGGGTTTGTCCGCACTTCACTCTGGGAGGCTTGGGTGCCTGGCCCCCGTCAGGCATTGTACAAACAGTCCACGGAGCAGAGCCAGCCCGGCTGCAGCTGCCCCGGGTGGCAGTGGAAAGCGCTCAGTGAGCTCTGGCAGTGACGGTCGCCGCGGGGGAGCTTCCTGTGGGATTTGAGTGTATTTTCGTGATTTACATACGTGACGCTCTCATCTCAGCACGGGGA